CAGTCTTATTTTCAAAAATGGCACATGCCTAGGCATGCTGCTGTTGTCTGCAAAGTCCCCTACATATGAATATATGTAACTTCTAGGAAGCATAAGCAGCCAAAGTAAATTAGTTCCTCAGGATTATTCAGCAAGTACTGTACTATAAGTGCTTTCCCTATTGCAAACAACCAACAATGTCGCTTGCTATGACCCCTTAGTTGTTGGGGCATACGGTTTATATACCAGACACAGAACTACTTGAAAGGAAATAGCAGTAAGAGGGCAAAATTAATAGATCTTTACTTACACATGTGTAGCATTCGGAACAAAGTACATTAATTAACTGCTGAAATACAGGTTAATGCCATTACAGAGACATAGTTCATAATTGGGAACTAAATATTCAGTGGTATGTGACTTTGCAAAAGGATAGGCAGGAAGAAAAAGTGAGGTAGCTTTGTTGGTACAGGATGGAATAAGCAAGACAGCAAGAAATGATCCTGAATTGGAGGATGTTGAATCAATATGGGTGAAGTTAAGAGATAAAGAAGGAAAGGTGACACTGGTAGTAGTAATCTATAGGCCCACTTTTTAAAAATTCATTCACAGGGTAAGGGCGATGTTAGCTAGGTAGCATTGCCCATCCCTAATTGCCAGAACAGCAGTTAAAAGTGAACCACACGGCTATGGGTCTGGAGTCGCACGGAGGCCAGACCAAGTAAGGATAGCAATTTGCTTCCCTAAAGGGTACTGGTGAACCAGACAATCGGCAATGGTTATAATTAGACTCTTAATTCCAGATTTTTACTGAATTAAAATTCCACCATCTGCAGTGGTGGGGTTCGAATCCAGGTCGCCAGATCATTGGGTTTCTGAATTAACTGTCCAGTGATAATACCACTAGGCCATTACCTCCCACTAACAGTAGCTATATGGTGGGACAGAAAATAAATCAGGAGATAATGAGGGCATGTGCCAAAGGCAGTACATTAATCATGTGTGATTTTAATCTTCATGTAGATTGTCATAGTCCATTTAGCAGAGGAAGCTATGAGGAAGACTTCATACATCACATTCCTGACAGTTTCTTAGAACTATGTGTTGTGGATCCAATCAGGGATAAGGCTCTTTTGGATCTGGTGATGTGTAATGAGGTAGGATTCATAAAAGCTGTCACAGTAAAAGAACTCATCAGAAACAGTGACTAAACATTGTGGAGTTTAGTATTCAGTTTGAGAGGGAAGAACTTTGATTGGAAGCAACTGTGAGAAGCTTAAATAAAAGCCATTACAAATGAATGAGGACAGAGTGGGCTTAATGGACTGGGAAAAGGGATTAACAGCAAAGATGGCTGAGGAACAATGGCAAATGTTTAAGAAAAAAAAATGGTTCCAGCAAAGATGTACCCCTGTGAAGAAACAGCATTCTAGGAAGGGGACAACATTAGTTCGAAAGAAAAAACGTACAACGCAGCAAGGGTTAATGGTAGGCCAGAGGATTGGGAAAATTTTAAAAACAACAGTCAAAAAAAGGGGAGAAAATGCACAATGATAGTAAACTGGCATATCAAGATGGACAGCAAGAGCTTCTATAAATATTTAAAAAGAGAGAAGCCAAAGTGAGAGGAAATCAGGGCCGGCAGGACAGATTAGTGAGGTAGTTAAGGAGGCATATGGGACACACACCTTTATCAGTCATGGCATAGATTATAAGAGCAAGGTGGGGGAGTTAACTTGGACAAAACTTTGGTTGGGCCATAGCTGGAATACTGTGTGCATTTCTGTCACATTATAGGAAGGATGTGACTACAATGGAGGACGAGCAGAGAAGATTTACCAGGATGCCGCCTGGGATGGAGCAGTTTAGCTGTGAAGGAGGGCTGGATAAGCTCGGGTTGTTTTCTTTAGAGCAGAGAAGGCTGAGAGGAGACTTGATTTGAGATGTATAAAATTGAGGGGCATGGAAAGGGTGGATATTCCTTTGAACTGAAGGCTCAGTAACAAAGGATTACAATTTTAACTTGGAACAGTAGGAGGTTTAGAGTGGAGTTGATGAAAACTTTTCCACCCAGATGGTGGTGGGAATCTAGAATGCACTGCCTGTTGAGGCAGGAAACCTTTAACCTTTAAAAAGTACTTGGATGAGCACTTCAAGTGTCATAACATTCAAGACTCTAGGCCAAGTGCTGGAAATTGGGACTAGTGTAGATTTAGAGTAGTGTTGTTGCTGCAAATTTGATGGTATGAAGGGCCTCTTCTTTGGTCTGTGATTCTATGAACATAGGTCCCTGACAGAATGAGGCTGCGAAAATAATAATGGTGAACCAGAAAAAGACAGAAGTTGAATAAATACTGCCCATCAGTCTTCACAGTAGAAGATTCAAACAACATCCCAAAATCACAAAACTGTCAAGAAGCAATAGGACCAGAGGAAATAAAGAGAATAACTATTGAGAGAAAAGTGCTAGAGAAAATAATGGGGCTAAAGACCAATGAGTCTCCTGGACCCAATGGGATGTGTCATTGGTCATTAAAGGAAGTAGCTATAGAGATAGTGGATGCAGTATTAATAATCTTCCAGTACGATTAAGCGGAATCAGCATGGCTTCATAACGGCTTAATTTGTCCTGCCCGACAAATTTACTAGCATTCTTTGAGGAAGTAACAAGGAGGATAAATAACAGGGAATCTGCAGATATAGCATATTTGGATTTTTAGAAGGTATTTGATAAGGTGCCATGGATTAGGCTACTTAAGCTAAGAGCCCATGGTGTTGCAGGTAGTACATTAGCATGCACAGAGAACTGGCTAATACAAGACACAAAGTTGGGATAAGGAGGGTATTTTAGGGTGGCAACTTGTAACTAATGGAATGCAGCACTAGTCAGTGCTGAGGCCACAATTATTAACAATGTAAATTAATGACTTGGATGAGGTAAGTCAATGAACTAAAGCCAAGTTTATGGCTGACAAAATTTGATTGCAAGATAACTGGTGAGGGGGTGATGCAGAGCCTGCAGAGGGACTTTTTTTTGCTCGATTACAGGATGTGGGCTTTGCTAGCTAGGCTACCATTTATTGTCCATCCCAAGCTTATAAAATGGGTATGTGCCCTGCTCTTATGTCAGCTTTGCAATAAAAGCTGTGTTGATGAAACTGACTTAGTCCAATTTTTTAGTGCTTTGCCATTGCATCACGCATGGGAATGTGCTAGAGATAAAGGCCTTTACAGTGTTCAAATGCCCAAAATAAATCTAAGATCAGAATCTATGTTTTTACTGCAGCTACAGACATTTTGGTTGACAAGTTGATGTCGAGAGATGAAATTCATTTCACTTTTGGATGATGAGGACACAAGCTAACTTGACCAAGTGCCATCACTGACAGATATTTACTCAAAGTTAGACCACCGTTCCGTAGCCAGAAATTAAATGTATGTTGTGAACAGCAACGGGATCTCAAGGAACCACACAAACATCCATATTGTGGTATCTGTACTAGGCGGGTCAAATCTTTGAATATCAAAGCATCAAAATCATGATCAAGTATGTAGCTGTCAGTGATTATGCTTACCAAGGAGAGTTACTTTCTTCATTAACTTTCAGTTCTTTCACTTTACGAACCAAAAGTTGTCAAATTGTATGGAGGTGTTTCTTTTAGGATCAGATTAGGAAGCAGAAATCACAAGGAACACAATGCCTAAGTCAGGAAATATAAAACCTAACTCTTCAATACCTTAGCTTGAAGTGGAGAAGGAGGGGGCTTACCACGGGCTGCAAATCGAGGCCAGGCGCCTCTGGGTGGAGCTTTTCTTTTCTGTGAGATTGTCATGAACGAATTTAACTCCTTTGCGGCTGCCGGGTCATGTTGTTTTTGCTTCGCTGCCAGCAGGCGACATGTCAGAACATCCAGAAAATGAGGACCTAACAAATCTGCGGTGGATAGGTTAGGAAAATCCAAAGGACTAGGAGCAATTTTTTCCATGCCAGTTGCCCGTAACAGCCTATCAGACCTCAATTCGGAAAGGAAAGTGTGGGTCTGCCCAGCTAAAACTACTGCTAGACGACATGCAGTGATTGCGGAGAGCAACCTCTCCTTTAGTTGATCACGAGACAGGGATTCAAAATCACCCTTCAGTTTATCCAGCTCAAACTTCTGGGCAGCTAAAATGAGGGGACTTACAGTTTCAGTCACCCTTGATTGGATGGAACGAGTTGCTTCTATCACACCTAACAAGTTATCAAGCTCCTGCTTGGTGGAAACCACACCTTTCGAGACGAGCAACTGAAACATCGGCTGATCGACTTCAGGAGCTGCAACAGCTGGGATATTTGGAATGCCAACATTGAATCGGAGACGATTCTGGTGTTCCAAACTTAGTGGAAGACGGAATGCCAAAGGTAAAAGAATATGGCATTCCAGTGGTGTCTCTCGATAGGTCATGGCTTTCCAGCAATTTTTGTCATCGAGGGAGCCCTTCAGGGGTCCACCGGCCCAGTGAAGGAGGTCAGATGACCATTTTGCCCTTGTACCGGACAATATAGTCTCAAACGTGGACTTCTCTGAAACCGTTGACATAGTCTGAGGGATGGGCTTAGCATGGGGAAGTGGCATGAATTGTATCGATTGTCCAGAGCGTCCCCACCAGGGATTTGGCTCCTTACTGGCTGATTGTGCTCCATTCCCTGAGCTAGTTTCTATATTCTGCTGTGAACTGGGACCCTGCAGAGGATTTCCTTGCGGGTCATTCAATCGAAGTTGAGGAGCTGGAGGAGAATCAAAGCGAAACCCAGCTGGACTGTCGCTGGTGAAATCAAGCTGCAATGAAGATAAAAGATTAAATGTGTCAGAGATGGCTTATTGGCTGTGTCCTCAATGGTGTAGGTAAGGAAAAATATACGTGTGGCAGGATCAAGTGGTAAGCCTTCACAGGCTAAAAGAAGAATGCCGTTTACAACTTGCCCAAACCTATGTTGAGGAGGAGGGATTGTCTCTTAATACTTCAGGATTTGGTATATCACATTAGTAGTAAATCCAATTTACTTTGCCCCTAAAATATGTAATATCAGATGCTTGCCTACTAAGCATTAGGGTTTAAAAATGCATAATTCAACACTTTTCTGGCTATATCAGAAATCATTACTGGAGGCATTCACCTTTGGAAGGCTTTTGCTTGGATATGGTTTTCAGAGGATGTGCTTTTTCATGCCTGGTCACCGTGTAAAACAAACAAATACATACACAGAATAACCCGGAGATTCAAAATGGCTCTTGATCCCATCCACCTGGAACCTTGCACATATAAATACACTCAGAGTTCAGAGTTAGTGAGAAAAGGTAATTCAGCCGATAAAACTCTCTCAACTCAGAATCCATACGTGATTATTCTATTATAGGTACCCACCAATCTGCCAATCCCTGGCACTTTATCAAAAAATTCCTTTTACCTATTGTCACTGAAAAAAAGTCATGTAGCACTATTTATGTCTCTATTAGCCAGACGTGACAAAACCCTGATTACTTACCAACAACTGCGTTCCTGCCTTAGGAGACAAAGAGAATTCCAGAGTTTTTCCATGGAAGTCATGAGGAATTTCTCGGAAAAAGTTGCACATGGATGTGGCTGCATTCCCACTCTCTAGCTGCAGAAGGACCTGTACCAATCACAGCACGGGACAAGGTTAAACTGAGTGAACCGACTGCACACTAACTATAAACAAACTCAAGTCCATAATGTCAATTTATTGAATTAGCAGCAAGAAATCCTGACTGATTTTTCCCTTCTTACACCATGCATTAAGTAATATTTGAAAGCTAATCAGTCAGGATAGCACAACTTAGGCAATCTGGAACCTTCATCTATATGGATTAATTTAATACCATGCAGGGGGACCCTCTTGTGGCAGAGTGCTTGTGTCCCTAGTCATAGACTAGGAGGCCCAGGTTCAACTGCTCCAGAGGTGTGTAATAACATCTCTGAACAGACGGATTAGAAAAATAGGTTCAAAGACTCTTCGATACTGTGCAACATTGTTCTCAATCAGGAAATTTCTGATAATTTGCTTGCAGTTGTACAATTATATGCAACCGCCTGAAAGATGAGCAGACATCTAGCTTATAAAAAAACCGCTCAATGAGTAATGCAACAAGAGAAGCACTATTGTTAGCAATGGTCACTTGAAAAATGGAAGTTAGAAGGTGAGAGTGGAAACTGGGGAGGCACTGGCAATGATCTTTCAATCTCCCTTGGATTTGGGCATGGTGCCAGAGGGCGGGAGAATTGCAAACATTATCATCTCCTTGTTCAACAAAGTTATAAAGATAGACCCAGCAACTAGACAAAATTGGCAGAGGGATAGAAAATAGAGTATCATGGTTAATGGTTAATTTTCAATTGGAGTAAGGCTTGTAATTGATTTCTCCAGGGGACAGTATTAGGACCCTTCCTTTTTCTGATGCATATAAACAATCCAGATTTTGATGCACAGGTATAATTTCAAAGTTTGTGGATGATACAAAACCTGGAAGAATTGTGAACCATGAGAAAGACAGTGCAGAACTTCAAAACAACATTGACAGGTGAGTGGAAGGACAGGACAGGTGGCAGATGATGTTCAAGGTGGAGAAGCAGCGTAAAGTGATGCATACGGACATGAAGGACATGGCAAGATGGTATAAAGTAAAGGGTACTGTTCTATTGTGCTGCAGGAGCAGAAAGACTGTGGTCTAAGTGTGCATGTCATTACAGGTGGTAGAAAAGCTGTTAATAAAGCACACTGTATTTTAGGTTTCGTAAATAAGGTATAGAGTTCAAACAAAAGGAGGTTGCACTGAACTTACATAGGATGCTGGTTAGACTCCAGAGTCATACAGCATAAAAACAGACCCTTTGGTCCAACCAGTTCATGCCAAACATAATCCCAAACTAAACTAATTTCAGCTGCCTGCTCCCAGCCCGTATCCTTCCAAACCTTTCCTATTCATGTACTTATCTAAGTGTCTTTCAAACGTTGTAACCGTGCCTGCATCCCCCACTTCCTTGCGAAATTCATTCCACACGTGAACCACCGTGTGTAAAAAAATTTGCCCCTCATGTCAGCTGGAACATTGTTTACAGTTCTGGATGTGACACATTAGACCTCTTGTTTGTAATATATACAAATGATTTGGATGTAAATGTCGGTGGTCTGATTATTAAGTTTGCTGTTGACAAAAAAATTGGTGGAGCTGTCTAAGGATGCAACAAGATATACATCAGCTAGAAAACTGGGCGGAGGAATGACAGATGGCTCAGTGGTCAGCACTGCTGCCTGACAGCGTCAGGGACCTCAGTTCGATTCCAGCCTCGGGCAACAGTCTCTTGGGGTTTGCATATTCTCCCACAATCCAAAGCTATGCTGGTTAGGTGGACTGGCCATGCAATTGGACAAACTTGGAAGTTTTCACGAGAGCGTTGGAGGCTGAGGGACGATGTGGCAGAAGTATATAAAATTATGAGATACACAAACAGGGTGGAAATATCGAATATTAGAAGGCATCGGATTAAGGTGAGAGGGCCAAGTTTAAAGGTGATGTGCAAGTATTTTACACGGAGGGTAGTAAGTGCCTAACCCTTGCTGCCAGGGGCAATGGTAGAAGCAGATGAAATAGCTAAGGTTTAAGGGACATTTAGGCAGACACATGAACAGACAGAAAACAGAAGGATATGGACCATGTGCAAGCAGATGGGATTAGTTTAGAATAGCATCATGGTTGGCACAAACATGATGGGCTGAAGGGCCTGTTCCTGTGCTGTACTGTTCTATGTAGAGGGGGAGGCAATGGTTTAGTGGTATTATGCTGGACTATTAATCCAGAGACCCAGATAACATTCTGGGGACCTGGGTTCGAATCCCACCACAGCAGATGATGGAATTTGAATTCAATAAATATCTGGAATTAAAAATCTAATGATGACTGTGAACCCATCTGGTTCACTAATGTCCTTTAGAGAAGGAAACTGCCATCCTTGCCTGGTCTAGCCTACATGTCACTTCAGACCCACAGCAATGTGGTTGACTCTTAACTGCTCTCTGAGCAATTAGGAATGGGCAATTATTGCTGCCTAGCCAGTGATGCTCTCATCCAAAGAAAAAAATATAGTAATCCAGATGTGGTTTTACCAATACCCTGTATAAGTGAAGCATAACCTTCAACTCTTGCATTCAATTCCCTTCACAATAAACCAAAACATTTTATTAGCTTTCCTGATTACTACTTCTATCTACAATCTAACCTCCGGCGATTCACGCACAGTATAGGAAGGATGTAATTGCACAGGAAGGGGTGCAAAGGAGATTTGACAGATGTTACCTGGGATGGAGCATTTCAGCTATGAAGAGACTACATAAGCTAAGGCCTTTTTTTCAGCAGAGAAGGCTGTGGAGACCTGACATAAGATGTATAAGATTATGAGCAGCACAAACAGGGACAATAGAAAGTTCATTAACAAAGGACTACAATTTTAAAGTGAAAAGCAGGGGAATTAGAGAGCTTCTAGAATGTACTGCCTGGGAAGGTAATTGAGGGGGGGACCTTTCAATCTTTAAAAAAAGTACTTGGATGAACACCTGAAGTGTGATAACATTCAAAGCTTTGGTCCTAGTATGGGAGAGAGAGACTCATGCAGGTAGTGGTATATTTTTTGGCATACAGACATGAAGGGCAGAATGGCCTCTTCTGTACTATATGATTCTATGCTTCAGGACACTCAGGTCTCTTTCTCAAAGCTCTGCAACCTCTCACCATTTAGATAATACACTTTTTATTCTTTCTGCAAAAACGGACAATTTCACACTTTTCCACATTGCACTCCACATGCCAGATCTTTACCCACTCATTTATCTCTATCCCTTTGTAGCAAACAAATGCAAATCAGGAGTGTTCACCTTGTTGTGTGGTTTCAGAAACATGGAATCTTTTACTCTTCCAAATCGAAACGCAACACACAAAATGTCAACTTCTGTATAACCGTCTTCAGGTAGATTGCTGATGTGAACGAGATGGTCATATATAGTACATCCAGCCTACATGAAGAAAATGATAAAACCAATGAAATAAAATGAGAATTCAATCAAGAAAGCAACACCATACAGAGGCAATACATCTCACTACAGGAATTTAATAATAGAGGACATCAGGTTTCACTTCCTACTAACTTAAGCAGTGTCCTTTACTTTCCTAGACAACAAGGTGCAGGGCTGGATGAACACAGCAGGCCAAGCAGCATCATACTGCTTCCAGCAGCTTTTGATCATCATCACATCCAAATACAAGGGGTTCCTGAACAACTTGCAAATGGGCTCAAGAAGGGAACCCGTTCGCAACGTGGGGGCAGCCTGTAGTAATTGATATCAAAGTGTTCCTCTCCAGAGGGAGTCACAAGCAATCCGAATCCTGGCCTAATTTTCCGGATACTGCTGCTGAAAAGCTATCATGTACAGAACCTGCCTGATTTAGCTTCTTTCTTCCCATGTTGACGGCCATTCCCACCACATGGTTCCACAATTCTCAGAGTGTGGATCAGAAAATCAATTCACAATTTCCCACACACTGACCAAGTTAATGAAACACTTCTCTGAATCAGCAATTGCTTAATTCAGGCAAGTAGCAATATACTTACATCTGGTTTAAATCCAGATTCTTCAATCATATCCTTAAATATTAGCTCCTGGAAAAGATAGTAAGGAATTGAATATTAGTAACTCTGGTCAAATTGTAGTCATGTAGTTGTACTCGCACACACAATTCCAACACTACTAACAAAGTGTTGGTCTATTAAGTGCTTTTCACGATCACAAATATTTAAGGTTTCTAATTTGCACACCCTTTTTATCCTCTCAGTTGAAACCTCTGGGGATTACATTTTTCTTTATTCCTTCATGGAATGTGGCCATTGCTGGAAAGGTCAGTATTTGTTGACCATTCCTAACTGCCCTTGAAACGAAGTGACTTATTAGGCCATTTCAGAGGGCAGTTAAATAATCAACCATATTGCTGAGAATCTCAAGTTACTTGCAGACTAGACCTGGCAGATTTATTTCCATAAAGGGCAGTAGACTTTCTAATAACTGATGGCAGTTGTCATGGTCACCATTATAGAAACTAGCTTTACTTTTCAGGCTTAGGAATTTGAGTTAATTCTATTAGCTGCTGTAGTGAGATTTGAGCCTACGTCCCCAGACATAGGGACATAACCTACACAGCCTGGTCAATTAGGGATAAGCAATAAATGTTGCAGCAATGGTCACATCCACGAAAGAATAAAACTTTTAAAAAACCTTTCCCCAACCTAACATTCTACCTCCTCACCACTGCTAACCCACAATAATTTAACTTCTTCTTTCCTCACAAACAGGGCACCAATTGTACATATCAAATTTCACCAATAATTTGGATTGTAATATTTTGCCTAGTGTCCTGGCAGCAGATTCTGGGAACATCTTGCAACTAATCTGATAAATGAATAAATCAACTTCCATCACTGACTGGGATTCCAGCATTAATCTGTTTGTATTACCAGATTCAGAGATTTTCTCATACCAAAACTACAAATTATCCCTTTTGCACCTTTTTTTTGCTGAAAACCATTTTGCTTTCTGTCACTGTTTATACCGAAAGGTTTAAGGCTTTGTCCATCTGCATGAAATTACAATTCCATTCATATATTCTTAATCAACATTTTTTCACCAAATATCTACTAATTGCATCGCTAAATTCAAATTAATTTTGGTTCAAATACATTTTTTAAAACATTGCTTGGCAGGATGTGAGCATTGCTAACTCAGACAATGACTCTGGCCCATCTTTAATTTACCTGGCAAAGGTGCGGTCAGCTGTTTCTTGAACAACTCAAGTTCATGTGGTTGGAGATACATCCATTTTGGCATTAAGGAAGAAATTTCAGGGTTTGACCAACTGACAGTGAAAGAATTCAGATATGGTTCCATGTCATCACATCATGTTGCCTAGAGGGAATCTCACAGATGGTGGTAACTGCTAACTCTGTCCTTCTAAACGGTAGAGTATACAGGTTAACACGTTGCTGTCTGACCAGTCTTGGTGAATTGTTGCAGTGCAGCCTGAAGATGGCATACACTGCTGTCACTGTATGTTAGTGATGGAGGGAGTGATGTTAAAAGAGGGGATGGAAGCTAGGGCAGTTGCACGATCCTCTTGTAGGACGTGGGAGGTAAGGGTCACTACTAGTGTCCCTGCTGACCACCTGCAAGAAGTGCACCCAATTCCAGCTCCTCACAAAAGCGTTAGGGAACTAGAGCTGGAGTTGGAGTTGGATGATTTTGGATCATTCAGGAGGCTGAGGAGGTGATACAGAGGACTTACAGGGAGGTAGTCACATCTAAGTTACAGGATAAAGGTAGCTGGGTGGCTGTCAGGAGAGGGAAACAGAAAAGGCAGACAGTGCAGGGATCCCCTGTGGTCGTTCCCATCAATAATAAGCATACCGCTTTGGATTCATGTTGGGAGATGGGGGGTGAAGCCTGCACGGGAAGGCCATAGCGGCCAGGTTTCTGGCACTGAGCCTGGCTCTGTGGCTCAGAAGGGAATGGGAGAGCAACAGTGATTGGAGATTCAATGGTAAGGGAACAGACAGGAGATTCTGTGGTCGCGAACGAGACTCCCGGATGGTATGTTGCCTCCCGGGTGCCAAGGTCAGGGATGTCTCGGATCAAGTCTATAAGATTCTTAACGGGGAGAGTGAGCAGCCAGAAGCCGTAGTACAAATCAATCCTGATGACATAACTAGGAAAAGGGATGAGAACCTGAAAAGTGAATATAGGGAGTTAGGTTGGAAGCTAAAAGGCAGGCCGAGCAGAGGAGTAATCTCAGGATTACTACGGGTGCCACAGGCTAGTGAGGCCAAGAATAGAGAGTGAGTGCAGCTGAACACGTGGCTACAGAGATGGTGTAGGAGGGAGGGATTCAGATATGCGGATCATTGGAATACCTTCTGGGGAAGGTGGGACCTGTACAAGAAGGACGGGTTGCACCTGAACTGGAGGGGCACCAATATCCTGGGCGGGAGGTTTGCTAGGCTCGTCAGGAGGGTTTAAACCAGTTTGGGAGGGGGATGGGAACCGGAGCTAAGGATCAGAGGATGGGACAGCTGGTGTACAGGCCGATATAGCATGCAGAGAATCTGAGAGGAAGGATAAGCAGTTGATAGGACAAAGTGACAGTCAGTGCGACGGGTTGAAGCTTGTCTATTTTAACGCCAGAAGTGTCAGGAATATGGGTGACAAACTTAAGAGCATGGATCAGTACCTGGAACTACGAGGTTGTGGCCATTACGGAGACTTGGATAACACAGGGGCAGGAATGGTTGTTGGATGTTCCAGTGTTTAGACGTTTCAAAAGAAATAGCGGGGGGAGGTAAAAGAGGTGGGGGAATAGCATTGCTAATCAGGGATCGTAACGCAGCTGTAGAAAGGGAGGTCGTCGAGGAGGGTTTGTCTACTGAGTCTGTATAGGCGGAAGTCAGAATCAGGAAAGGAGTAGTTACTTAATTGGGAGCTTTCTACAGACCCCCCAATAGCAACAGAGACACTGAGGAACAGACTGGGAGACAGATTGTGGAAAGGTGCAGAAGTAATAGGATTGCTGTCATGGGTGAATTCAACTCCCCTAATATCAACTGGAACATCCTTAGTGCAAATAGTTTGGATGCAGCAGATTTTGTCAGGTATGTCCAGGAAGGATTTCTGACTCAATATATAGATAGGCTGACTAGAGGGGAGGCCATATTGGATTTGGTGCTGGGCAACGAACCAGGCCAGGTGTCAGATCTCCTAGTGGGAGAGCATTTCGGTAATAGTGATCACAACTCCCTGACCTTTACTATAGTCATGGAGAGGGACAGGAGCACACTGCATGGGAAAGAATTTAATTGGGGGAGGGGGATTTACAATGCTATTAGGCAGGAATTGTGGAGCATAAACTGGGATCAGATGTTCTCAGGGAAATGCACAACAAAAATGTGGAGGCTGTTTAGGGAGCACTTGCTGCGAATGCTGGATAGGTTTGTCCCACTGCGGCCAGGAAGGGATGGTAAGGTGAAGGAACCTTGAATGACAAGACATGTGGACCATTTAGTCAAGAGGAAAAAGGAAGCTTGAGGAAGCAAGGATTGGACAAGGCTCTAGAGGGTTACAAGGTAGCTAGGAAGGAACTGAAGAATGGACTTAGGAGAGCTAGAAGGGTGTATGAAAAAACCTTGGCGGGTAGGATCAAGGAAAACCCCAAGGCGTTCTATGATTATGTGAGGAACAAGAGGATAGCCAGAGTGAGAGTAGGGCTGATCAGGGATAGTGGAGGGAACTTGTGCCTGGAGTCGGAGGAGGTAGAGAAGGTCCTTAATGAATACTTTGCTTCAGTATTCACCAGCAAGAGGGACCTTGTAGTTTGTGAGGACAGTGTCAAACAGGCATATATGCTCGAACAGGTTGATGTTAGGACGGAGGATGTTCCGGAAATTTTGAAAAACATGAAGATAGATAAGTCCCCTGGGCCAGACAGGATATATCCAAGGTTGCTACTAGAAGCAAGGGAAGAGATTGCTGCCCCTTTGGCGATGATCTTTGCATCCTCACTCTCCACTGGAATAGTACCAGATGATTGGAGGGTGGCAAATGTTATTCCCTTGTTCAAGAAAGGGAATAGGGATAAACCTTGAAATTACAGACTAATCAGTCTTACTTCTGTGGTGAGCAAATTATTGGAGAGCACTCGGACAGATAGTATTTATGATTATTTGGAAAAACACAGTTTGATTAGAGATAGTCAGCATGGCTTTGAGAGGGGCAGGTGATGCCTCACAAGCCTTATTGAATTCTTTGAGGATGTGACAAAACACATTGATGAAAGTGGAGCAGTGGATGTGGTGCATATGGATTGTAGAGCATATGGATTGTAGCAAGGCATTTGACAAGGTTCCCCAAGGTAGGCTCATTCAGAAAGTAAGGAGGCATGGGATTCAGGGAAATTTGGTTGTTTGGATAGAGGTGGCTGTCCAACAGAAGACACAGGTAGTAGCAGATGGAAAGTATTCAGCCTGGAGCTCAGTGACCAGTGGTGTTCTGCAGGGATCTGTTCTGGGACCTCTGCTCTTTGTGATCTTTATAATGTCTTGGAATAGGAAGAGGAAGGGTGGGTTAGTAAGTTTGTCAATGACACAAAGGTTGACGGACTTGTGGATAGTGTGGAAGGCTGTTGTAGGTTGCAATGGGACATTGATGGGATGCAGAGCTAGGCAAGGAAGTGGCAGATGGAATTCAACCCAGAAAAGTGTGAAGTGACTCATTTTGGAAGGTCAAATTTGAATGCAGAATACAGGGATAATGGCAGGATTCTTGGCAGTGTGGAGGAACTTGGGGTCCACGTTCATAGATCCCTCAAAGTTGCTACCCAAGTTTATAGGGTTGTTAAGGAGGTGTATAGTGTGTGGGCTTTCATTGGCACGGGGATTGAGTTTAAGAGCCGCAAGGTTATGCTGCAGCTCTAAAAAACCCTGGTTAGACTACACTTGGAATACTGTGTTCAGTTCTCGTCGCCTCATTATAGGAAGGATGTGAAAGCTTTAGAGAGGGTGCAGAGGAGATTTACCAGGATCCTGTCTGGACTGGAGGGCAGGTCTTATGTGGAAAGGTTGAGGGAGCTAGGGCTTTTCTCATTGGAGCGAAGCAGCATGAGAGGTGACTTGATAGAGGTGTACAAGATGATGAGGCATAGAGTGGATAGCCAGAGATTTTTTTTCCAGGGCAGAAATGGCTATCACGAGGGGGCATAATTTTAAGGTGATTGGAAGAAGGTATAGGGGAGATGTCAAGAGGTAGGTTCTTTACAAAGCGTGTAGTGGGTGCATCGAATGCACTGCCAGCTGTGGTAGTGCAGTCAAATATATTAGGGACATTTAAGTGACTCTTGGATAGGCACATGGATGATAGCAAAATGAAGGGTATGCAGGTTAGTTTGATCGTAGAGTAAAACAGTAGGTCGGCAAAACATCGTGGGCCGAAGGGCCTGTACTGTGCTATATGTCCTATGTTAAAAGCATCAGACAGAGTGCCAATCAAGCAAGCTGCTTTGTTGAGGATAGAGTTGTGGTTGGCATGTTGTTACAGCTGCTCTCATTCAGGCAAGTGGACGCTATTCCACCACACTCCTGACTGATGCCTTGTAGATAGTGGACAAGCTTTTGGGTGTCAGGAGTTGAGTTACTCGTCCCAGGATTCCTAGCCTGTGAACTGCCACGCGCTTGTAACCACCGTGTTTATAGGTCTGGTCCAGTTCAGTTTTTAGTTGGTGGTAAGTCTCAAGATGTTGATAGTTGGGCATTCAATGACAGTAATGTAAATGAATGTCAGGGAACTCTGGTTGATTTGTCTCTTGTTGGATATGGTCACTGCCTGGCAGTTGTATGGCATGCGTATTAGTTGCCCAAATAGCCCAACGCTGAACACCGTCCAGGTCTTACCATGGCAATACTTGGACATGGAATGCCTCAGTATCAGAGGAGTGAATGGCGCTGAATGTTATTTAATCATCAGCCAACAGCCCCAGCTCTGACCTCTGATGGAGGGAAGGTCATTGATCAATCAAATGAAGATGCCTGGGCTTAAGATACTACGCTGAAGAACTTTTGCCTGAGGTCCTAGAGGTGAGATGATCAATTTCCAACAGCCACAACCATTTTCATTTCTAAGTATGATTCCAGCCAGTGGAAACTTTTCTCCCCAGTTCATACTTACTCCAGTTTTGCTAGAACTCCCTGATGCCACACACAGTGAAATGATGTTTTGATGTCAATGGGAGTCACTTGCATTTTATCTTAAGATCAGTTTTTCTCGCCATGAGATAAGGTGCTAGCTAAGTGGGCCTTGCAGACTTAGTACTACATGTCAGTCAACAGGTAATTGCAAGTGCTGCCTGACAGCACTTTCAATGACTTATCACTTCACTGATGTTCAAATATAGACCGGTCAGGTTTGATTTGTCCTGCCTTTATATGACAGGGCATAATCTGGGCAATTTTCCACATTGTTACATTGATAACATTGTAGTAGCAGTACTGGAACAGTTTGGTTAAGGGCACAGTTAGTTCCGAAGCACACCTAAACAGTTCCATTCCTGGAATGTTGTCAGGACCGTAAACTTTGCAGCATTCAGTGCTTTTAGCCATTTTTTGATACTACTTGGAGTGAATCAAATTGGCTGAAGACTGGCATGTGTGATGTTGAAAGCTTCAGCAAGAGGTTGATATAGATCACCTTCTTGGTACTTATGGCTGCAAGGCACAATTCTATGAAAATGACCATATCAGACTTACTGGATTGGTGTGTTCAACACCTCACCCAATTTTGGCATAGGTCCTCAAGGTGCAATTAAGGACAACTTTGCAGAGTCAACAAGGCAGTGCCCTGGTTGATGGAGGATGGCGAATTAGTTTATTTCCTTTTATCAAACATTTCAACAGTTAGGTACAACTGAGTGCCTTCTATTTATGAGGATATTTAAGAGTTAACCACATTGTTATGGGCCTCCAGTTACATAGATGTCAGACCAGGTTGGGAAGGCAGATTTTCTTTCCCTAAGGGACATTAATGAACCAGGTGCGTTTTTATGTCAACCAACAATGGTTTCAAGGTCACCATTAGACTAGCTTTTAAATCCAGATTTATTAATCAATTCCAAATTTTACCATCTCCATGCAGCAATAGTATGTCTCTCTGGATTACTAATCCAGTGACAAAAGCACTGGCTTTCCTTGAGCAAATCCTTCAGTAAATCTTTTAATTGCATCTTTCTCTGCTATTCGAGGCACTCAATCTATAAAGCCGACTAGTTTAGATTGACTTGGACATTGAGATCTCAGCACTGGCCCAGGAGACTCCATTCAACATCTTCTCAGCTCAAGTAACATTTACTCTCAACTCCTTATTTAGTTTCACATTGCTTCTGTGATCAACATCCCATCCCCAAAAGTTTAAATTATTAAAAGTCTTGCCAATAATTTCAATATTGAGCTTCATGAATATTTCAATGATAGCAGCAATTACATTGTCCACTTGGAATATTAATAAAGAGCTCAGAGTCCACAAATTTCAATAGCCTTCAAACCACACATGGGAGAGATTAAAGTTACGAGGCATGAGGCTAAGAATTGAGATCAGGAGAAATTTTTTCACCCAGCAGGCAGTGGGAGTTTGGGACTCACTGCCTAAAAGAATGGCCAAGTCAGAGTCAGAAACTCTCATAACATTCAAACAGTATTTAGGTATTCACTTGCACTGCCACAGCCTCTAGGGCAATATGGCAAGAACTGGAACATGGGATTGATGTGGTCAGATCTTTAGTGACCAGCATAGACACAATAGGCTGAATGACATCATTCTGTGCTGTAAATACCCAAGCCTATGTGATAAAACAGCTAGCAGTTTAGAGACCCACTGGCTCAAATACCTTATTTTGAGTTCCTCTTACCATATCACTCAGATCCACGTACTGATGTAGTACTTGCATACTAATTGCATTTCCTTTTAGCTTGATTGTGGAAAGGCTGTAAAATTCCACCATTTTCGCTGCTGCTTTTGCACAGGCCATTTCCAGGTATGCCTTAAAATTATAATAAAATGCTTTAATAAGGATGGAGAAATTAATAGTAGAATGTAACAGAGAAATAACACTATCATACTCCTGATTTATTCCTGATGGATAGGAACTGGGGAGCCAGGTGAGTTTTTGCTGCAGGCCTCCTAGTGTCTGACCTGCTCTTGCAGCCACAGTATTTATGTGGCCAGTCCAATTCAATTTCTGGTCAACAGTATTCCCCAGGGAATTAGGGGATTCAGTGAAAGTTACACTTATCAAGACGAGGGTAAAGAAAGGAGGAACAGAAAGAGAAATAAGCTCATTGGGCAGTATTGAGCAAGACTAGAATGAATTTGAATCACAACAAAAAACAAAAGCCACCTCAAGTTATAAAGTTATGAATACTGATAGCAATGCATTTATCAAGCAGAGTGCAAAACCCACCTGATTTCTAGAAAATGTGATAACCACATTCAATACTTGTCCAAAGGGCTTTGCCAGCCTTTTCAGGTCATCCTCTTTATAACCTCTAGCTGGAAGATTGTTAATTCGAATAACTCGACCGTTTACATTCAAGCCAACATTCTAAAAAGACAAGAAAATGCTCAAACTAACCAGCCAATATCAAGTGCATGATTTGGGGTGGGAAAATCTTTACTATCACACTTAAGTGAACAGATATTTTTCTTAATACTATACAGAATATAGCTTAAAAATAGAATACTGTATATGTAATGCATTGATTAATGCACATATCCAAAGGTAATTCAAATGGCAATCATGCCTTTTCAGATATTGTTAAGGCTGCCAAGGGAACAGCCACTTGGATGTATCTCAAATTCTTCACTTGCCTTTTCCTAAAAAAAAACCCTCAAATTTATTTTCTTTCACAATATTTCTCTTCCTGGACTTTTTACCACCACTGCACGTAGTTAAAGTGCTGGACAACAACTTATTTGTCAAAACACATTCACAAGCCTTCAATTTTCTCAACTTCAAAGCACTCCATGGAAGCATGGAGAACAGCAGGCGGAGGGCGGAGTGGGTGGTCAGCAGCTTGCGAGCCCAGTCAGACCATGTGTGGTAGCCCCCTGATCTGCATTACAGCTGAGCTGTAATGTTTATCTGTAATCTGTTTATCTGACTGTAATGTTTATCTTTTTAATTTTATTTCTTATTTTCTAGCTTATACTATGAATCACTAAGGCAATGCAACTTTTTTTCTTTATTTCTCTATTTTGAATCTAAGATTTGTACCCAGGTACTTTGCGCTTAAGATGGCACTGTGAGGGGGAATATTGTAAACTTTTCACTTTACTCCTGTACTTGAGTACACGTGACAATAAACCTAATTCTAAACATTGCTTCTTCCATCTATCACTTCCTCTAGTTATACCACCTTCAGATGCATCGTCACACCTGCAAATCTAACACTGTGTTTCAGATTTCTTTTGTCTTTGAATTGCGGCCGTACCTTCGTTAGTCCTGGTCTTATCCCTGGAATTCCCTTCTAAATCTCTCTCCTCCTCTAATACACTATTTGACCAAGCCACTGTTCTTTTATCTCCATACATGGCTCAGTTTCATATTTTCTCTAATAACACTCCTGTGAAATACTTTGGTCTTTAATCACATTAAACCACTACATGAATGCAAGTTATGATGTGGAGAATTGTTACATAATTAGATGCAGAATTAATCCAGGCAAATGCTGTACATTTTAGGCAATAACGTGTTAAAAAACTCAGAAGAGGGACCATGTATAACAACAAAGAATGGATTTTTTTATTGGTTTTTAAGATGTGTGATGCTAGCAAGTCTATATTTATTTCTCTAAGATGGCAGTGATGCACATTCTTTGTGGTGATGATCCTTCCATATGGTATCGGATAGGGAAATTCATCGAAGCAATGTCAATGATTGAAAGGACAACTGAAGGCATTCCTAAAAGAATGGCATGCGAGAAGGTGACTTAAATCTCTAAAAAGCAGATGAACAAATTCCTCCTTCCCCCATATTTAGATTTTATTCTAGATACAGCGATACAGCCTACATACAATGAATCCTGGAAAATCAACTAGGTTGCAGTAAAGAAAGCCATATGACCTTTTAATAATTATCATGTCCAAATGATCCTCTATATTTGGATGCAGACCGAACAAAAACTTTTTAAGGTTAAGACAATAAATTGAGAGAAAGTCACATGGCTAGATGCAGTAAACTACATTCTGAGGTAGACTTGGTGCTTACCCTTCATGTTACTCATTGTAAAAAAATCACAGCACTGTGATGTGGTAAATAACTGGCATGTAACTGCTTTTAAGCATAGACCTCAAGATGATATAGTCCATTCTATATTAAAAAGGCAAAGTACAGAGGTACAGTATTTTCCTACTTAGCAGCTCATAACATGTGAGTGACACTTACCTCAGATTCTCCCTTCTCCAATGCAGTATCTTCACTTTCTGCAGTCTCTGAAACAGATAAATGTGGTGAAAAGACTGAAAATAATCAAACCATATAAAGGTGCCAAGAGTGCAGATTTCTAAAGAGATATTCTGTCACTCTCCAGCACAGTCCTAACTTACAGCAACGATCTTGGAATAACCAGCTGAAGCTCACGATGTGGCAAAAAGGCACTGGGCCTTTCGATAGAACAAGGTATTATTGTGTGCGCAACTGTGTTTGATCTTGCGTCGCTGAAGTGTCTACATTCAAGGTCTAGGTGTCTTTGTGCATGAATATTGTAAGATTAGTATGCACATACAGTAATTAATTATGAAAGCTAATAGAATGCTATCTCTAAAAATACAGAGGTTATGCTTTAGTTATATACAAGTCATCTGTGAGACCACAACTGAAATATTATGCAGAATATTAGTCTCTTTATTATGGAAGTTTATAAATACATCAGAAGCAATTTAGAGAAGGTTTACTGGACCAATATTTGGACTGGGTAGGTTGTTTTAGGAGGAATGGTTGCTCACGATAGGCTCGCATCCACTGCGAGTTCAGATGATTAAGAAGTGACTTGATTGATACATACAAGATCCTGAGAGTCTTGACAGATCTGAGGACCCTTTTATTGGAAAATCAGGGACTAGGAGTTACTATTTAAATATTTAAATCAGTGATGAGGCAAATACTTTTCTCGCACAAGATCATTAATCTTTGGAACTCTCCTCTTAATAAGTGGTAAGCTGAGCACATGAATATTTTTAAGATGTATAGATTCTTGTTAAGCAAGGTGGTGAAAAGTATCAGGGTAGGCAGGTAGGGTCTCAGGATGAATAGTCCAGCTATAATACCATTTCATAATAGATCCTTCCCATTCACTCTACACAAGACCCTCATTTGCATACACTTCAATCAAATCTCCCTCAGCCTCCTCTCTTACAAGGAGAACACCACCAACTTGTCCAATCTTTCCTCTTGGCTATGTTTTTCCAGTCCTGGCAACATCTTCATAAATTTCTTTTGTAGCATCTCCAGTGCAAATATTTCCTTTTGATAATGAGGTGACCAAAACCACACAAAGTTCTCAAGTTGTGGCCAAACTAATGGTTCATACAGCTCCAGCATAACTTCCCTACACTCACATTCATTTCTCTGCTAATAATGGAAAAGATTCATGTGCTTCTTAACCACCCTGTCAACCTACGCTGCTATCTTCAGGAACCTGTGGACATTCACAGCAAGACTCCTCACTTCTCCTATTCCTGTTAGTTTTCTTCAATTAACTGGTTATTCATTTGCTTTGTTTGGCATCCATAGATGCACCACTATGCATTTAAACCAGGAGTGCTCAACATTTTACTCCAAGAATGCAATGCAATGGCAAGTTTCATTTCACATTTCTGCCAGTCTTATAGGTTTAACATTGGATGCAGAGTGAGTTGGTGCTAAATCATGGGAATTACTGTCTGGCAGAATCAATTTGATCTTCCAAATTGCAAATATAGTCTCAAAGAGGACTTTTACAAGCGTCAACTTAACGTGAATTTGACAACAACTTTTGAATCATTAAACCACCTTCCCAAAAACCTATCACATTTCAGCATTTAAAAAATCCTTTAGGTTTTGTACAGCTATAACTTACTTGCATCAACTGAAGGAGGGTTCGTTTCTGAAGCACACTGAGCACTACCACTGGTCACTGGAGCACTTATTTCCTTCCTGAATGGGTCAAAAGAAGACAGAATGTGAAATACAACCACAATGGTTGCCAACAAACATCTAATCAGCTCCCAAAGGAGATCCATCCAAGTTAACGCTTTCCAGATGCTGTCCAACACTGGACATTTGTAATACGGCCACTATGACCTTCAGGGTGAGCCAAGACAGAAAAGGAAAAAAAAAATCTAGATTTTGCACTGTCAGATATACATTGAAAGTTCTCCATTAACAGACTTGACAGCACTGCAGCATCTCTTAACATACATCAGAAACGGTCCCAATACCTCTGGAACCTAAAGCCGTTCCTCCTGTACCACCTCTCCAAGAACACATTCATTTGTTTGATTGCCTATTCTTATATTCATTACTGTGTAAGACCGGGAGTAATCTGGAGATTACTATCTTTCAAGTCCTCCTTTTCAACTTTCCACCTAACTCCCTAAAGTCTGTTTGCAAGACTGCATTTCTCTTTTCCCCTATGTGTTTGTTCCAACATAGACCATGGCTTCTGGCTATTCATTCTCCCCTTTCAGAATGTCCTGCGGCTATTTTGTGTTATTTCTGACCCTAGCACTCACAAGAATATAGAACACAGAAAAGTACAGCACAGTACAGGCCCTTCAGCCCACGATGTTGTACCGAACTTTTACCCGAAACGTAAGGCCTATCGCACTTCCACCACTACCTTATAGTATCATCCATATGCCTATCTAATAGCCGCTTAAATGCCCCTAATGAGGCCAACTCCACTACCCTCTCTGGCAATGCATTCCACGCCCGTACCACTCTCTGAGTAAAGAACGCACGTCTGACGTCTCCCCGATATCTACCTCCACTCACTTTAAAAACTATGTGCCCTCGTAAAAGCAACCTCCACCCTAGGAAAAAGTCTCTGGCTGTCTACCCTATCTATACCTCTGATCATTTTGTACACATCTATCAAGTCACCTCTCATCCTTCGTAGTTCTAAAGAGAAAAGCCCTAGCTCTCTCAATCTTTCCTCGTAAGACCTTCTCTCCATTCCAGGCAACATCCTGGTAAATCTCCTCTGCACCTTTTCCAACGCTTCCACATCTTTCCTGTAATGAGGTGACCAGAACTGGACACAATACTCCAGATGTGGCCGAACCAGGCTTTTGTATAGCTGGAGCATAACTTCACGGCTCTTGAACTGAATCCCTCTAGTAATGAAAGCTAACACACCATACGCCTTCTTAACAACTCTATCCACCTAGGTGGCAGCTTTCAGGGAACTGTGGGCATGAACGCCAACAGGTCTAACACTTGGCCCGGTTGGTTGCCAAGCACCAAATCCAAAGTGGCCTCTCCTCATGTTGGTCTATCTACATACTGTGTCAGGAATCCTTCCTGAACCCACTGGACAAAATCTGCTCCATCTAAACTATTACAACTAAAATGTTTCCAATCAATATTTGGAAAGTTGAAGTCACCCATGACTACAACCCTGTGACTTCTGCACCTTTCCAGTACCTGCCTCCCAACCCGCTCCTCTACTTTTCTGCAACTATTAGGGGGTCTGTAAAAAACCCCCAACAAAGTGACTGCTCCTTTCTTGTTCCTGACCTCAACCCAGACTGACTCTGTAGACATATCATTCTCAAACTGCCTTTCAGTAGCTGCTATACTCGCCCTGACTAGCAATGCCACTCCCTCACCTCTTTTTCCACCCTCCCTATTTCTTTTAAAGCATCTAAATCCCAGAACTTCCAACATCCATTCCTCTCCTGGAGTTACCCAAGCTTCTGTAATGGCCACAACATTGTAGTTCCAAGCACCGACCCATGCTCTAAGTTCATCTGCCTTATTTCTGATACTTCTAGCATTGAAGTATACACACCTCAAATCATCTCGGTGTCCGCAATTAAGCTCCATCGACCGCATTTCTTTATAAACCACCTCACTCCCTGTTGTGTCTGTTGGAAGGCTGAATACCTCATCCTCTGAATTATAAATCCGGTTCCCCACCCCCTGCCAAACTAGTTTAAACCATCCCGTACTGCTCTGGCAAACCTCCCTCCCAGGATATTTGTGCCCTTCCGGTTCAGGTGCAACCCATCCTTACTATACAGGTCCCAACTTCCCCAGAAGGTGCTCCAATTATCCACATAATGGAAGCCCTCCCTCCTACACCAGCCCTGTAGCCACGTGTTTAGCTGCACTCTCTCCCTATTTCTTATCTCATTATCACGTGGCACTGGTAGTAATCCAGAGATAACTACCCTGTTTGTCCTGGACTTCAGCTTCCAACCTAACTCCCTGTACATTCTCAGTCCTTTTTCTACCTATGTCATTGGTATCGATGTGTACCATGACTGCTGGTTGCTCACCATCCCCCTTAAGGATCTTGGAAGACACGATCCGAGACATCGCGGACCCTGGCACCCGGGAGGCAACATACCATCCTTTTATCTCGTTCACGTCCACAGAACCGCTTGTCTGTGCCTCTTATTATCGAATCCCCCACTACAATTGCTCTCCTACTCTCCCCCCTTCCCTTCTTTGCCACAGGGTCAGGCTCAGTGCCAGAGATCTGCCCGAGACTAGGTAGCACACCATCCTGGAGTCACATCTTCAGCTGCAAAAGCTTGTCTATTCCCCTCATTAACTGACCCCCTACCACCATTGCTTTTCCACACATCTTCTTGCCCCACACCCACAGAGCAGTTGGATCAGTACCAAAGCCTTTCCTCGGGCTGACCTTCATACAAGAAAAGCCACACACCATTTTTGTCGGCTGAAAAGCGTTTTGTAAACAAGATGCCCTGGGGGATTCCTTCCCCATCTACCTGATTCTCTTCTGCTATCTGGCAATCACCCATCCCCTCACTGGAGTCACTTCCTTAAGCTGTATGATACCCACATTCTGAAATGTGCTATCCATCCATCTCTCAAGCTGCCACATACACTCCAAAAGCCAGGGCACAAGCTATTCCAGTCGGTGGCTCCAGCCAGGAGCGTCAAGGATTTCCCAATCAGGATTTCCCAAATCATAGGCCTGAACTCTCCAGACATATTTTCATGTAATTGAATAATCCTCTTCATTTTTATTTTAACAATACTCCTACTGAAGTATAGACTAGAACAATCTTAATTGTGTTTACATCCCCAGTTCCACTCAGGTTGGCACTGGACCACTGGCTTCTCTATAAAGAGGCCTCATCTCACCCACTCTTCAGTGATGCTGACTGCCTGACACTGGGTCTTCACCTGGACTAGTTCTGAGGAAGGGTCATCAGACCCGAAACGTTAACTTTGATTTTCTCTTCACAGATGTTGCCAGATCTGCTGAGCTTTACCAGCAACTTTTGTTTTTGTTCTTCACCTAGACTGCTCCTTTTGGAGATGTTGGCTGACATCACCTTTCTTGCAGGCAGAAGGAACATGCACACAAAATGCCCTGACCAGAGTCAACCTGCCTGGTTGAAAATTTGAACAAAGCCTAGCGGTTAACTGCCAATCAGCATTAATGGGTGGGGAACAGCATTTGTCATGGCAATGCCTTCAGCAATTACAGTCTACTTGCCAGTCATGCAGGACTCTCATCTTATACAGTATAAATGCTGGTTTCCCCAATTGGTATTTCTTACCAACTGTCCTGATGAGTGCAAAATGAACAGCCTCAACAAATGTCTCTTTTCAGCAATACTAAAGGCATGTAGGACCAAATGACTGATTGCAAACCCGAGATAAATCTGGTCAAACTGCAATGTTTAAAGACACTAGTTAAAAAGTAAAATCTAACCTTTTAAACATGATTTTAGACTCCATACATGTTTTAATGCATATTGCATTTTAAGATGATGTTTCAGATTCTTCAAATATTTATTGAATTCTTAAGGTGCGGGCATTACTGAATGAGTCAGCCCATCCATAACTGACCTTGCATGTAGTGGCTTGCTAGACTACCTCAGAGGGCAGCTAAGAGTCAACCATATTAATACGAGTTCCAAACAGACCAGGTACAGACTGCAGATATGCTCCCCTAAACGAGAGATGGGTTTTTATGACAGGCAACTGTAGTCACCATTGTACTCAAGATGTTTCTCTGGTATTCAAATACTACCATGTGCCATGTAGGATTCAAACCCATATCTCCAGAACATTTGTGTAAATATTGTGGTACAGTGACTGGAAGCCAAGGTCACAACTGCCTGCCATTTTCAGTCACAGTACACAATTGTGCTGAACTAAACTCCAGAAGGAATTGCTCTCTGCATCAAACTGAAATTCTGGTTATAGGACTGTAACTGAAAGCAATTTGAGAGGCTATCAAGAATATCATTTGCAGTTTGCTTCTTTCTGCGTTGGTATCCTTGTATAAAGTAAGCCTCTGTCCTGTGATTTATTAATAAAGTTCTTCAAGCTGTGTAAAGAGGTACAGTGGAACAGACAAATGTGACCAAGTCCAGCACAAAGGCAGTAGTGGGTGCTGGTTCAAGTCACACAGTTGCCTGCTCACTTGAAGAAACTGGCAGAGAAAGTTATGTCACACGGCGGCACGTGGCTCAGTGGTTAAGTTAGCACTGCTGCCTCACAGTGCCAGGAACCTGGATTCCATTCCACCCTCGGGTGACTGTGTGGAGTTTGCACATTCACTCCTTGTCTGCGTAGGTTTCCTCCCACAGTCCAAAGATGTGCAGGCTAGGTGGATTGGCCATGCTAAATTGCCCGTAGTGTTCAGGGATGTGTAGATTAGGTGGGTTATAGGGGAATGGGTCTGGGTGGTATGTTCTGAGGGTCGGTGTGGACTTGTTGGGTCGAAGGGCCTGTTTCCACACTGTAGGGATTCTATGAACATCTCACAACACAGCCAGATAGGACTATTGGTACGCAAGGTGTGAAACTTGTTAAAAAAAAAAAATCTGCCTTTCACCACGGATGGCACAGTGGTTAGCACTGCTGTCTCACAGCATCAGAGGCCCGAGTTGAATTCCAGCCTTGGGCAGCTGTCTGTGTGGAGTCTGCACGTTCTCCCACTGCCTGTGGGGGCTTCTTATGGGTGCTCTGGTTTCCTCCCACAGTCCAAAGATGTGCAGGTTAGGTGGATTGGCCATGGTAAACACAGGATCACAGGAATAGGATGGGATGTTCTTCAGAGAGTTGGTACATTCTTGAAGGGCCTAATGGCCTCTATCTGCACTGTAGGAATTCTATGAGTCTATGATTCCTCAATGCTTCTGCATTAGTATCACAGTTCTGAGACAGCTGATTTGTTGCCTGTAAAGTCCAGACATCTCAACTTCTGGATATCCAAAGACAGTGCGCATCTATAATCCAATTTGAATTCTGATCAGTCCCCAGTAACCCTGGTAGTCTCAGATAAATGTATTCAAGTTTGATCAGCAGCAGTCAGTCAAAATCACAATTAATACTCGCCTCACTACAGGTGCTGTTGACAAGAGCATGGGAATAATGTTACCCAACCACAACAAGGCAGAAGCTTCAACTTTGTTTTACACAATACCAAGATACTTTCAACAATTTTCAGAGAGAGTAAACAAATTGGTCCTAAATATTCAGAAAAGAAACAACTTCCTCCACCAGATGATCAGCTGGTGTCAAAACCTACACAGGATAGCACTAAAAAAATTAGATTCATTCACCTGCAATTGGGCAGCATTTTTTCAGAATTCTCTTGGTTTCAGAGGCTTACTGCACAGATACTTAAGACATAAGACCCATAAGACATGGGCCTAATTTCTGCTCCGAAATTCAATTATGGCTGATAAGTTCCTCAACCCCATTCTCCTGCTTTCTCCCCATAATCCTTGATCTCCTTGGTAATCAAGAACCTACCTATCTCAGTATTAAATGTACTCAACGACCTCGCCTCCACAGCCTTCTGTGGCAGTGAATTCCATAGATTCACCACTCTCTGGCTGAAGAAGTTTCTCCTTACCTCCATTTTAAAAGGTCTTCCCTTTATTCTAAGGTTGTGCCCTCAGGTCCTAGACTCTCCTACCAATGGAAGCATCTTCCCAACATCCATTTTATCCAGGCCATTCAGTATTCTGAAAGTTTCAATTAGATCCCCCCTCATCCATCTAAACTCCAATGATTATAATCCCAGAGTCCTCAAACGTTCTTCATACGTTAAGCTTTCCATTCCTGGGACCATTCTCGTGAACCTTCTCTGAACCCGCTCCAGGGCCAGTACATCCTTCCTGAGATATGGGGCCCAAAACTGCACACAATACTTCAAATGTGGCCTGACCAGAGCCTTATAAAGCCTCAGTAGTACATCCCTGCTTTTATATCCAAGTCCTCTTAAAATATTTAAAATACTTACTGTACAGGGGGGAAGACTTGGCTCTGTAGCTGCTCTTTCTGATCCTATTTAAAAAAAAAGAAAGATGTTAGAAGATTTTCCAGAATTGTGATTCTGCTCTAGCAAATGCTGGACAAGTGGTAGAAGTATTTATTGCGAGAAATTCTGGTGATCACACTGTAGGGAGGATATGGAGGCTTTGGTCAGGGTGCAAAAGAGGTTTACTAGGATGTTGCCTGGATTGTATTATATTAGATATAATACAGGTTGGATAGACTTGGATCATTTTTACTAGAGTATTGGAGGCTAAAGAGAGACTTGATAGAAGTACATAAACTTATGAGAGCCTGGATAGGGTGGGTAATTGAAGTCTTTTACCCCAGGATAGAAATGTCAAATATTAGGAAGGGAAACGTTTAAAGTGAGAGGAGCAAGTTTTACTTACGCAAAGGGTGGTAGGTTTCTGGAACATGCTGCTAGGGGAGATGGTAGCAGATACAATAGCACTGTAAGAGACATTTGAACAGGCACATGAACAGGTAGGGAACAGAGGAATACGGACTATGTGCAGGCAGATGGGATTAGGTAAGAATGGTAACATGGTTAGCACAGGCATGGTGGGCTGAAGTGCCTGCTCTAAACATTAAAATATAGCTAGGGCAGTATGCAACAGGGGTTTAAGCTGGATATCAAATAATGAGTGGACACATCAATAGACCTACTTGAATTTCAAATCAGTCCCCAGCAGCCCAATGGAAAGCTGTTACAAATTATGGACATTCAGCAATTACAAGAGTGACTAATAAATACAGTAAAATTGAAATAAGATTCTCCAGAGATATTGCAGTGCAAAAATTCTGGGATAACAGTCTATGCTTTTAATTTTGCTGATCTTGCTGTTAGGCTGTAACAGGCTAGAAATCACACTTTAAAACCTTGTCTTTAGGGATTGGACCAAACAGTTATCTATGACAAAGTTCTTACATCTGTACTCAAAGCTAGGCCAGAATCAAAGTGGTTAAAGCAAAGAAGGTGGCCATTTTGATTGGTGTGTCCTCATTGGTCACCTGCTAAAGCAACTCAACTCGCTCCATTTCCCTGCAAATCTTCTCCAAAGGTAATTATCCAATTTTCTTTTGAAAGCCACAATTGAATCTGCCTCAACCACAATCTCAACCAGCAAGCTAACAATTTACTGCTTAAAAAAATTCTCTTGTCACCTCTGGTTCTTTTGCCAATCATTTTAAAATCAGTGTCTTCTGGTTCTCAACTTTTGAAGAATGTCAAAAGTCACATATCACCAGGTTATAGTCCAACAGGTTTTTTTTTTATTCATTCACAGGATGAGGGCATCACTGGGTAGGCAAGCATTTATTGCCCATCCTTAATTGCCCAGAGGGCATTTAAGAGTCAACCACATTGCTGTGGTTCTGGAGTCACACGCAGGCCAGACCAGGTAAGGATGGCAGTTTCCTTCCCTCAAGGGCTTCAGTGAACCAGATGGGTTTTTCCTGACAATCGGCAATGGATTCATGGTCATCACTAGATTCTTAATTCCAGATATTCACTGAATTCAAATTCCACCATGTGCTATGGTGGGATTCGAACCCGGTCCCCAGAACATTACCCGGGTCTCTGGATTAACAGTCCAGCGATAATACTACCAGGCTATCGACTCTCCCTTTGAAATCACAAGCTTTTGGTGCGCTGCTCCTTCATCAGGTGAAGGCTCAGCACTCTGAAAATTTGTGATTTCAAATAAACCTATTTGACTGTAACCTAGTGTAATGTGACTTCTGACCTTGTCCACCCCGGTCCAACAATGGCACCTCCACATCATTTTAAAGAATGGGAAGTTTCTTGCTTCTTTAACCAGAAATCTCAAGATTTTAAACAAATTTCCTCTAACACACTCTTCGTTAAGGAGCACAATCCAGTTTCCATAATCTAGCCTTTTAAGTTCTTAACCTCTGTAAACATTCTGCAAATCTTTTAAGAACCCACTTCAAAGCAGTTACTTTCTTCTGACATAGGTGCCTGCAATTGAATGCAATACTCCAACTAAAAATAAAACATTGTTCATCATCAGGTTCTTGCTATGTTCCTTGCTTTCATATTTTATACTTTTACTTTTTGATTTAGTTTAATTTGATTTATTGTTATCACACGTACTGAGATAGTGAAAAAGTGTTGTATAGCATGCTATACAAGTAGATTGTACCATACAAAGTGCATCAGAGCAGCAGAAGAGAGTGGAGAATAGTGTTACAGCCGCAGAGGAGGTGCAGAGAGAGACAACAGGAGAGAGCAAGATCAGAAGTAACACCTGAGAGGCCTGATTAAAAGTCTGATAACAATGGGCAAGAAGCAGTTCTTGAATCTGTTAGCATGTGTATTCAAACTTTTATATCTTCTGTTCGACAGAAGAGGGTAGAGAGAGTATAACCAGTGTAGGAGGGGTCTTTGATCATGTTGGTTGCTTACCCGAGGCAGTGGCAAGTATAAATGGAGTTAATGGACGGAAGGCTTTTTTTTTGCTAAATGCATTAGGCTGTGTTCATGACTCTCTTGCAGTCTTGGACAGAGCTGTTGCCATACCACGCTATGATGCTTCCAGATAGATGGACCATAGAAAGCATCCCATCGAAATTGGTAAGACTTCTTGTGGACGTGCCAAATTTCCTTAGCCTTCTGAGGAAGTGTGCTCATATATGCCAGGTCACTCTCCTCCTTTATCCCATTTAGAATCTTAACCTTCACTTTATAAGTCTTGTTCTTTGAGCAAAAGGTATAATTTCACACTATTCTGTAGTAAATACAATGTGTCAATTTTAATCTGTCAAACACCTTCTATGCTCTTCTGAAATCCAAACGATCCTCTGGATGAAGGCCTTGTTATATGAGAAATGGTCGAGGACTCCGGGTCTGTACCCAATGGAGTTTGGGAGCAAGAAATGATGGGGAAATCTCCGTGAAATTTACAGAAAACTGAGAATACCGAGGGGTCTGGATAGAGTTTACATGGAAAAGGCATTCTACTAGGAGGAGAGCTAAGACACAAGGGCATAGCCTCAGGGTGAAGGGCCGATCCTTTAGAACTGAGATGAAGAAGAATTTCATTGAAGAAGTCATTGCCACAGAAGGCTGTGGAGACCAAGTCACTGTGTATTTAAAAGAGACAAATGGGTTTTGACACGCAAAGGGATCAAGGGTCATGGGAAGGAGACAAGAGAATGGAGTTGAGAAACACATCAGCAACAATCAAATGACAGAACAGACACAATGGGCCAAATAACCTAATCCTGCTCCTCTATCTTATGGTCTTAAGATGTAAGAGCAGAAGTAGGCCATTCAGCCCATTAAGTCTGCTCTGCTATTCAATGAGATCATGGTTGATCTAATAATCCTCAACTCCACTTTCCTGCCTTTTTCCAACAGTCCTCGATTCACTTACTGATTAAAAATCTCCCTTAGCCATGACTATACTTAACAACGCAGCATCAACAGACCTCTGCAGTAAAGAATTCCACAGATTCACTACCCTTCGAGAAACTTATCTCTGTTCTAAATGTGCAACCCCCGAGATTACACCCTCTGGTCCTAGACTTTCTCATAAAAGGAAGCAAACTTTCTGCAAGTCCCCTAAGAATCTTATATATTTCAATAAAAGTTGCCCCTCATTTCTCTATGCCAACGAATACAGGTCCAATCTACTCAAGCTCTCTTCATAAGACAGTCCCTCCACACCTGCTATTAACAAGCAATGACAACATCTAAAAGGCATCTGGATGGGTATAAGAAGGAGGGTTTAGAGGGATATGGGTCAAATACTGGCAAATGGAACTAGATTAACTTAGGATATCCGATCGGCATGGACGAGTTGGACCAAAGGGTCTGTTCCCATGCTGTATAGCTCTCTGATTCTTACGACTCTAAGTGCTTGGATGTGCACTTGCCATGTCAGAACATTCAAGGTTATGGGCCAAGTGTGTCTACTGCAGATTTACAGTAATTTTTAGGTTGGTGCAGACTTAATGGGCAAAAGGACCACTTTGCACTATGTTTCTAGGAAAACTGTTCAGTATTCCAGTTGTGGTCTGATTAGTATCTTGTATACTTTCGTCAAACCTGCCCACATTTATACTCCATCCCTTTGAAATGAAGGCCAATATTCCATTTGCCTTCCCTACTGCCTGAACTTGGATACTGGCTCTTTGTCAAAGGCAAGGACTCCCAAATCCCTCTGTTCTGTAGCTTTCTCTTTTTAAAGAACAGTCAGTTCCTCTATTCTTCCTGCCAAATTGAATATTTCCCCACACAATATATCCTACCTGCCAAGTTTTTGTCTACTTGTTTAACCTGTTTATATTCTCTGCAGCCTCTGTCATCTTCACCACTTGCCTTCCCACCCATTGGTGTGTCATCCACAAACTTGGCTGCACTTTCCTCATCCAAGTCATTAAGTGTATTACTATCTTTACATTTCAGAATGATGCGAAAAAAAGTCAATTCTGTGTCCTGGTCAAGTTGCAGACAGTGCAACCCTGGTCCCAGTGAAATGGGCATAAGGCACAAACCCGTTCTCTGCTTGATATCACTTGCTAGTATTCCAAAGTGTCACATGCTTACTAGAAGCAAGCAGGGTGGAATGTTTTGGGTTGAAGAAGTTTCACTTTTAATCGTCTAAATGCAATGCTATTGTGAAGTTGGAAGCTGAAGAATGCTGCTGCAGCTTCATTATAGAAAGTGTATAATGTGCACCTGGACCACAGCAAAACTCATCTCCAAGTGCCCATTTACGGCACAGCAAATAGACTGGCAGCTCTTTGGTTAGGAGCAGTGGCCACTGCTATGCATATACAGCAGCAACCAGAGAGAAGGCACCCAAATTGTGACAAGTGAAGTCACAGCCTGCTCGAAGCAGTCAGTTTGGCCTCCAGGGGTGGTCCTTAATGATGATGGGACATAGGAAATATCATCAGAAAGAAGTCCCTCCATGAGTCACAGGGTGCCCAATCAGGAGGGACCTCACTCAAACCCATAAAGATGTCACCAGGTTATACTAGCTGATTTTGTGGTGTGTAGTTTTGCCCCTAAGTTCACTGGCAGAATGATAGCAAGGGAGGACAAGGCTCTTAAAGAGCCTTTAGTTGATCATTTAGGGCCTTAATTGGCCTGTAAATAGGAAGGTCCAGCTCTACTTTTGAAAATTGTGAAAGAATCAGAAAGGTGACAGCATTTCACTTCCTGCTCCCATTCCCTTCCACAAGGGGAATAAAACTCCATTTGTAACTCTATTGCTAAATATCATAAATGCTGACTGATCTGCTAAGCAATTTCGGCACTGATTTCCAGCAGCTACAATATTCTGCCTTTTTTATTGGAGACTTGCTGACCATTTTACAGAATCACTGATTAGCTTTGGCATCTCTGTAACACAGGAAGAACCTCCATCTTGCCAGCTATTTTTTCCACTTTTCTGCCTAGGGGATGTCTAGCATCCTCTAACTGAGCTGCTAACTCATGTCAGGGTTCAAGGCAATTTCCTCTAACATGGATTCGATTTTGTGCACAACAGCGACTGGTCAAAAATCACTGACCATGACCCAGCAAGGCATTCTACAGATTCTGAATAAGTTCCTGCAGACTGGAAAGTAGCAATTGTAACGTCACTACTTAAGTAGGGAGGAAGAGGAAACCTCTGGGAACTACAGACCTGATAGTTTGACATTAGTCCCTGTAGCAGGAAAAATGCTGGAATCTATTATAAAGAATGTGATAACTTGACATTTAGAAAAGTGTCATTAAGTTGCACAGAGTCAATATGGATTTACAAAACAGAAACCATGTTTCACAAACATTTTCGTAATAGAAGTATGTTACTTAAAGCATAGATAAGGGAGATCCAGTGGATGAGGTGATTTGGATTTTGAAAGGCTTGGATAAGGCTCTCCCTGTTAGTTGAGTCAAAAGATTGAGTGTATAAAACCTTGTGACTCCAAGCGAGTGTTGCAGTGAGTGTTCCCATCTGCCGTCTCAACACAGCATAAAAACACCTTGTTCTGAAACAATAATGACAGTTTTTCTCAGTGATCTGGCTAATGCTCCCTCCAAGCTGTACAGCCAGGCAACAACATTCATATTATTATATAGGCTGTGCTTAAATTGGCTCCCTTTGTGTTATCATGATTCTGAACTGCACAAAAAAATCCTCCTCTGATGCTGCCTGGCCCGCTGTGTTCCTCCAGCTCCGCACTGTGTTATCTCTGACTCCAGCATCGGCAGTTCTTACTATCTCTGAGGCTAGTATGCCACAAAGAAAACATGGAGAATATCAGTCCTGGCAGATGTTTAATCTCTTAATAAATAATCTGCTGATAATCACATTGCTGTCTTTGTGACTTTGTTGTGCACGAGTTGCCCACTGCGGTTCCAACATTATAAAGTGACCAAACTTCAAAAGTACTTCATTGGCATCAGGAAAACTACTTCGAGGCTTTAAAAAAAAAAGGACACTATAAAATTGTCCACATTTTTAAAAAATAAGCATTTTTTTTTAAAAAAAGTGCTTTGTCTACACGAAAAGCACTATAGCGATCAGTTACCATATAATTTGGTCATTGATCTTCAGCAAACTGAAGTGCAAGACTGGAGTCCAGATTTACATAAGTGTTCTACCTACTTGAATATATCACCTTGGGACTTACTGGCTGCTTATGCATTTCCTTCTTCCGTCCCAGTAATACCATGGTAACCTGTCGGTGATTGATCTCTACTGGTGTGATGCTGTAAAACTCCACAAGTGCCACTGCAGCCTCTTTATAGGCCATTTCCAGGAAAGCCTGTTTTTAAAAGAAAACAATTATCAAAATCTTGCAACAAAGACCTCAGTACTTAAAAACTTGTACCTCCCAGAGTCTTTTTTCTCTGCAGCTTTAAATCCAAGCTTAGTGTGACTAATTCTCTACTTTGTAAAGTACTTGAACCATAGAAACAGGCTATTTGACCGACGTCTCTGCCAGTGTTCATGCTACACATCACATTCCTCTCACTGTATCAGTACATCCTCCTGTTCCTTGTTTCCGATGTTTAATAAAATGTTGGATAACTGCATATACAGCAACCATTCTCTGTGGCAGCAAGCTCTACATTCTAACCATTCTTCAGGTAAAGTTTCCCCTGAATTCCCTACTGGATTTACCTGTGACGTCTTGTATCTAGCACGTCTATCTCTGGTCTTAACCACAAATGAAATATAAAACAATCCAAACATATATGACAGAGTCAACAGTGCAACTCTTTTTATTTGTTTTATTTGCAGAGACAACCACCCTGTATTGAATTTCCTCTGGGGAGAAAAGTGCTCCAATCTATTCTTTCCTATTAAGTATAACCTTTAAAGAATATTGCTTGACTCACCTCATCTTTACCATGCTTCAAACATGATTGTGTTCTAATGATACACCCTTTAAATGAAAACATTTTCCCTTCCACTAACTCCTTTTACTGCAGCATAACTCCTGTACACTACCCAAAAATCCATCACATGCCTTTGACAGTCTTGTACAGGTTCACTAACTGTTTGTAATCTCTTTAATCATGAGGGATATCAGCAGGAAAAAGTTCTCAATTATCATTCACATAAGTGTACTTTTAACAAGGGGAATCAGATAACGATGGCAGGCACTGTTCTTGGCCGACAGGCCAGCACCTTTGAATCCAGCTACAAAAGTCCAATCAGTGCCCAGATGACATCATGACAAGCTGAGTAATGAATGCAAGATCTTTTACTTTAGTTATAGAAAGCCAAAGAGGATTTTGAATTTATGCACTCCATTCATAATTTGAGAGGTGAACGGGCTAAATTTGGCTGATGAAGTTTAACTTGGAAGTGTGAGGCTGTCTATTTTGGGCCAGAGGAATTGTAAGGCAACTTATTATCTATGGTGGTAGAGTTCAAATTCAATGAAAATCTAGAACTACAAGTCTAATGAATCCATTGTTGATTGTCGCAAAAAAAAGCCCATCCGGTTCACTAATGTCTGTCAGGGAAGGAAATCTGCCATCCGTTACCCGGTCTGGCCTATGTGTGACTCCAGACCCACAGCAATGTGGTTGACTCTTTATTGCCCTCTGAGCAATGAGGGATGAGCAATTAGTGTTGGCTTAGCCAATGACGCTCTCATTGCTCGATTGAAAAAACTAAACTGGAGAAACTAGTAGTATTTTATGGCAATTTAGTTTCACCTGTAATTTTGCAAAAAAATGCAGTGAAAAGTGTTTACGTCGCCATAGTCCAGCGCCTATATTAATAACAAAAATCATATATTAAAAAAAATTTAAGATGAAGTCTATCTTTGTTCAATTCACAGCTCACGGGTTCCCAAGGTCAAGGAAAAGACTGGAACCACATTTTCCACGGCTGCAGAAATTTGACATTGAAGCTGCCGAGTCTCGGGCCAGACCACCATGCCAAAGACCCAACTCGTCGCTGTTGAAATCCAGGCCAGAAGATGCTGTAGAAGCCATCTCAAGCAATCCGGGGCCAAACCCACCTGATCACCAAAGACACCATTGACTCAGCCTGTTGGAATCCTGAGCTGGACCTACTGTGCTGTCGAAGTTGCCAAAGCAGACCACCACTCTGCAGGACGCAGTCACCGTGGCCACGAAGAACTCCTGAATGCCTATTTTCATGTCCTCATTTGCCAGATTCCCTCTTACTTCCCCACTTGCAATGAGTTGACTGGGCCATGGAACAGCAAGTGAGGCAATCAACTACAAGGACAGAGTGCTTCAGTGTAGAGGGATCTGGGTGTCTTTATGCATGAATCACAGAAAACTAGTATGCAGGTAATAAGGTACAAGGTATTAATGAGAATGCACCTACAGTACTGAATACAATTTTGGTCCTCTTAAGAATTATAGTTACATTGATGGCAGTTCAGAGGTTCACTAGGCTGATTCCAGAGATGAGGGGTTTGTCTTAATAAAGAGATGTCGAGTGGTTTAGGCCTTTATGCTATGGTATTTACAAGAATGAGAGATCTAATTGAAGCATGCATATAAAATGCTGAAGGAGATTGTCAAAGTAGACGCAGAAAGGACATTTCTTCATGTGGGGCAATCTAGAATGAGAGGTCATTGTTTTAGGATAAGCTTAACAGATGTAAATCAGAGATGAAGAGTAATTACAGAGGAAGAAATACTGGAGAAATTAAGGAGATTATTTTCTGTGCAACTATACCTCATTTTTGGTTCGTACTAGCTTAATGGCTGCAACTTTTCCAAATGGCTGTGTTAGTTTTGTGATGTCTTCCTCAGTATAACCATCATGTGGCAGGTCAGTGATGTGAACCACACGCCCACTCCTCTTCATTTCCTGCATCTTCAAAAGCAAGACAACTGTTAGATTTCCAGTGCAACTCAGAGCAAGAGACAGTAAACCAATCCCACCTTCAGCTAAAAGAGAGTAAGCTTCTCAACAGGATCGATTTATAAAACACAGCTCTAGATTATGTAGAACTAAGACTTTTTGCATCTTCATGTTGAAAATAATGAAACAGAAAGCCCATGTTTATGACTTTACATCTGAGAGGAATAAATGCAACTCACCAATTGTGCATTTGCATCATGTTGAGGAGTAGGTTTTTCTACTTTGACAGCAGCAGCACCACCTACAAATACAGTCCAGTGAGATTCAACCCAAAAAACAGTCACAAACAAACTTCACAGTTCTGAGGAAAGGTCACAAAATCCAAAATGTTAACTGATTTCTTTTCACAGATGCCGACAGACCTGCTGAGCTTTCCCAGCAATTTCTGTTTTTGTTTCCGATTTCATGCATCTGCAGTTCCCTTGATTTTTAGCAGACTTAATATATTCATCTTAAACAATGCTTTAATGTAATATTGAAATATTGTGAACGCAACTAGTTCACCAATTTTCTTCGAGAGGAAATTACCGTTCATATCCACTCCAACCTTGGAATGGCAACTGCTCTGCACAAGACCATAAGAAATTACAGGGAGTTGTCAATGCAGCCCAGTCCATCATGCAAATCAGTCTTCCTTTCATTGCCTCTGCCTATACTTCCTACTGCCTCGAGAAAGCAGCCAACATAATCAAAGACACCTCCCACCCCGGTTATACTTTCTTTCACCAGGCAGAAGATACAAAAGTTTGAAAACACGTACTGATAGATTCAAGAACAGTTTCTTCCTCGCTGTTATCAGACTTACGAACAGACCACTCATATTAGAGTTGATCTTGCTCCGCACCTTCTCTGTGACTGTAAAACTATACTCTGCATTCTGTTCTATTATCCTGATGTACTCATGTAAGGTATGATTTATCTGGTGAGCATGCAAAACAATACTTTTCACTGTATCTTGGTACAAATGACAATAACGAATCAAATCAAATCAAACCAAACCTAAACATCACTCCAGACCCACATCAACCTAGTTGACACATTAACCACTCTGAAATGAACTAATAAGTCATCAAGCCATATCAAACTACAATCGATAGTTCAAGAATAGGGTTTATTAATATCTGAAGTATAACCAGAGATGTGCAACAAACGTCAGTGATGGATAAAATTATTAAATAATCTGTCTCATTACACAAGTGTTTTTGTATTACACAAGTAATTTCAAAGCACTACAGTCTCGTAACTAGAGAAACTATAAAACACTTGCAATTTGCTTTATTACAACAAGTGTTGTAAGCCTCCAGAATTTTACTTTATTATTAATAGCATTATTAATCTACAGCAGCAGCCACAATATTGATTTTGCAGCACTCTACTTTTCAGGTACGATAACACAGGGGACTCAAATCTTTACAGGATACTATGTGCCTGCCAGAACTCCGTTACTGTTGAGGAGCAAAGCACAATAGGGTATCAGAAGCTGAGCAAGTTATTTGACTATATTTAAAGTGAAATGCTAGAAATAGTCAGGCCTAAAAAGGGCAATAATTTGAGTTGAGTATGAGAATCTTTGAGAAGTGAGGGAAAACCGAACCATAATGGATTTTAGAGATAGTAGGAACTGCAGAGGCTGGAGAATCTGAGATAACAAGGTGTAGACCTTCAGAAGGTCTAGGCCCGAAATGTCAGCTTTCCTGCTCCTTTGATGCTGCTTGGCCTGCTGTGTTCATCCAGCTCTACACCTTGTCATCTCATAATGGATTTTACACTTTTGGAAAGGAGAGGAACAACGTATGAGGTGCTCTTGGATAGTTTAGAAGCAGAAGAGATTAAATGACAAAGATGTTATAGAAGACAAAGGGAGCAGTAAAGATAGTAGTGAAATGACAAATCATTTGTCCAGAGTGAGTATGAATGGCAGAACAGTGTCCCCCTCTGCTATCTGTCACCTCCAGTAGTGTACCATCGCCATATATTTCCCTCCCCTCCTGTGTAAACATATGGACCATTCCCTCTCAGACAACCTGATCTGTTCCTTCACCTCAATGGCATATCCTATGCAATCACAGACTGTGTAACAGTGCCCCTTCACGTAAGAATACTCCATGGTCTAAAGCTTCAAACACAGTTGTAGACTTTTACAGCATGGAAACAGACCCTTCGGTCCATCTCGTCCATGCTGACCAGGTATCCTAAATAAATCTATTCCCATTTGCCAGCATTTGGGCCCATATCCCTCTAAACCCTTCCTATTCATATACCCATTCAGATGTCTTTTAAATGTTGTAATTGTACCAGCCTCCACCACTTCCTCTGGCAGCTCATTCTATACACGCACCACCCTCTGCGTGAAAATGTTGCCCTTTAGGTGCCTTCTAAATCTTTCCCCTCTCACTTTAAATCTATGCTCTCTAGTTCTGACCTTGGAAAAGACTTTAGTTATTCACCCTATCCATGCCTCTCATGATTTTATAAACCTCTGTAAGGTCACACCTCATGTCCGACACTCCAGGGAAAACAGTCCCAGCCTGTTAAGACTCTCCCTATAGCTCAAACCCTGGCTACATCTTGTAAATCTTTTCTGAACCTTTTCAAGTTTCACAACATGCTTCCTGTAGCAGAAAGACCAAAACTGAATGCTGTATTCCAAAAGTGGCCTAACCAATGTCCTATACAGCTGCAACATGACTTCCCAACTCCGACACTCATTGCACTGAACAATAAAGGCAAGTGTACCAAACACTTCTTCACTATCCTATCTACCTGTGACTCCACTTTTAAGGAACTACAAACCTGCGCTCCAAGGTCTTTGTTCAGCAACACTTCCCAGGACCTTACCATTAAGCGTTCAAGCCCTGCCTTATTTGCCTTTCCAAAATGCAGCACCTCATCACATTTATCTAAATTAAACTCCATCTGCCAAGATCCTGCTGTATTATGAGATAACCTTCTTTGCTGTCCACTACACCACTAATTTTGGTGTCATCTGCAAACTCACTAACCATACCTCCTACGTTCACATCCAAATCGTTTATATATATGACAAAAAGCAGTGGATCCAGCACCAATCCTTGTGGCACACCACTGGTCAGAGACCTCCATTCTAAAAAGCAACCCTCCACCACCATACACTGTCTCCTACCTTCAAGCCAGTTCTGTATCCAAATGGCTAGACTATCCCTGCATTCCATGTGATCTAACCTTGCTAACCAGTTGACCACGCAGAACCTTGTCAACCGCCATACTGAAATCCATATAGATCATGTCCACCGCTATCACATCTTCCAGGTGAAAGAGCGTTTTCCTTGTACTTGTTTCAATCTACTATATTTATTGCTCACAATGTGGTCTCCTTTTACACGTGTGACAGTAAAATAGATTACGTCTCTGCTTTGCTGTACACCTCCACTCTGTCCACAAGAATAACCCTGTCTTTCCAGTTGCTTGTCATTTCAAGACTGACTTGCTCCCACGTCCACATCTCTGAAGAAATTTCTCATCTCAGTCCTAAACCTCATATCCTTAGACCGTGAACCTGGTTCTGGACTCTGCTGTCATTGGTAATATCCTTCCTGCATCTAACCTATCAACTCCAATTAGAATTTTATAAGTTTCTATGAGATCCATCTTTCATTCTTCTGAACTCTAGCAATTACGTTCCTAACTGATTCAATCTCCCCTCATATGTCATTCCCACCATCCCAAGAAAGAGTCTGATAAACCATTGCTGCATATCTCTGTAACAAAACAATCCTTTCTGAGATAAGGAGACCAAAACTATATCCAATACTTACAGGTACGGTCCTACTAAGGCCCTGTATAATTGCAGTAAGACACCCCTTCTCCTGTATTTAAAGACTCTTGCTATGAAGGCCAACATACTATATGCCTTCTGGACCGTCTGCTGCACTTGCATATTTATTTTCAGTGATTGGTACCTGAGGATAACCAGGTCTCTTAAAGATTCCCCTCTTTCAATTTATAGGCACTCAAAATTCTGCCTTCCTGTTATTGTTCCCAAGGTGGCCAATCTCACATTGTCCACATTGTACTGTATCTGCATGCATTTATCCATTCACTCAGTATGTCCAAATCACACTGATGCATCTTTGCATCCCCCTCACAGATCACTCTCCTACCCAGCTTTGAGAAACCTGGTCTTTTGAAAAATTCCAACAAGTTTGTCAGACATGACCGCCCATTAAGAAACCTTTAACAAGACCATGCTGACTATTCTGGATTAATCCCTGCTTCTCCAAGAGAATCGTTATGAGGGACTCTCCTATCGAGCATAGGCAGGAGATTCTGTGGCAGTGAGCGTGAATCTAAGATTGTATGTTGCTTTCCTGGTACCAGGATTAAGGACATCTCAAAATGCCTGAAGCATATTGTTAAAGATGACAGTGAGAAACCAGAAGTTATTGTACACATTGGTAGGAATGCAACAGTTAGGAAAAGATTAAGGCTTTACAGAATGATTGTGAGAGGTTAGACAGAAAATTAAAAAACAGAACCTCAAAATTAGTAACCTCTGGTTCAATCCCAGTGCCAAGCTCGAATGAAGAAAAGAATAAAAGGAGATAAATCAATAGTTGAAAAGGTGGCATAACATTGAGGGATTCAGATTCTTGGATCACAGGGATCTCTTCTGGGGCAGAAAAGGCCTGTGAAAAACGATGAGAATCACCTGTACTGGGAAAGGACCAATATCCTAGCAGGAAGATTTGCTAATTCTATTAAGGGAGACTGTGAACTATTTGGTGGGGCGGTGATGCTGGTTGTGTTGGTGGAAGAATCCTAAGCAGCAGAGTAAATAGAAAGATAGTTGAAGATGGTTTTGAATCTAAAAAGAAATAGTTAATTAGAAAAGACAGACAAGAGCAAGAGAACTAAGTAACTCTGAAGAATTAAATTGCATTTATTTCAACGCAAGGGCTCAGAGCCATGTTTGGGAACATGGGATTGGGACGTCATAGCTATTAGAGAAACTTGCCAGAGGGATGGGCAGGGCTGGCAGCTCAATGTACCATGTCTCAGATACTACAGATAGGATAGAACGAAGAAAAAGAGGAGGGAGAGTGGCACTTTTGATTAAGGAAAACATTATTACTGTAACTAGAGAAGATATTTCTGAAAAATTGTCCAGTGAGAATATATGGGTTGAAATTAGAAATAAAAAAGGAATGATCACCTTGATGGGATCACACTACAGAAACCCAAAATAGTCAGAGGGAAATTGAGCACCAAATATATAGAGATCTCAGATATATGCAAAAATAATAAGGTTGTAGTAGTAGGTGATTTTAATTTTCTAAACATTGACTGAGACTACCATAGTGTCAAAGGTTTGCACAGTGAAGAATTTATTAAATGTGTTCAAGAAAACTTTATCAATATATAAATGTTCCTAAGACAGAGCAAGAGAGTGAGGTGATAGTAGGAGACACTTTGGGCTTAGTGATCATAATTCAGTATTTATTGCCAGTCCCTAGCTGTCCTTGAGAAGGCGGTAGTGAGCTGCCCTCTTGAATAACTGCAGTCCATGTACTGCAGATAAACCCACAATGCCTTTAGGAAGGGAATTCAAGATTTTGACACAGTGAGAGTGAAGGAACGGCAATATATTTCCAAGTATGGACGGTGAGTGACATGGAGGGGGATTTGCATTGGGTGGTGTTCTCAGTATCTGCTGCCCTCAATCTTCTAGATGGAAGTGGTTGTGGGTTTGGAAGGTGCTGCTGAAGGATCTTTGGTGAATTTCTGCAGTGCATCTTGGAGACAGTACACACTGTTGCGACTGAGTGGTGGTGGTGGAGGGAGTGGATGCTTGTCAATGTGGTGCTAATTAAGTGGGCTGCTTTGTACTGGATAGTGTCAAGCTTCTTGAGTGTAACACTACTGAATGTCAAGGGGCAGTGATTAGATTGTCAGACATTTGTGTGCTGAGAATGTTACTTACCACTTGTCAGCCCAAATCCAGATCTTGTTGCATTTGAACATGGACTACTTCAGTGTCTGAAGAGTTGCGAATGATGCTGGACCCTGTACAATCAATTAGTGAACATCCCCACTTCTGACCTTATGATGGAGGGAGAGGCATTGATGAGGCAACTGAAGATGTTTGAGCTTAGGAACTCCTGCGGAGATGTCCGCAGTGATTGACCTCCAACAACTACAGCCATCTTACAAAGTGCCAAGTAAGGTTGACGAATGGCAATAAACAGTCGTATTACACAATGGCAAAGCCATGACCATTTCCCATAAGACAGTGTAACAGCATCCAACCATTGACATTCCATGGCATTACCATCACTGAACGCCTCACCAACATCATCCTGGGGATTACCAACAGCAGGTCAGGGCATTGTAAGGTGGGTAACTCACCTCCCGACTCCTCTGACCCTGCCCACAATGGAAGGATTGTGATACAACACTCCCCACTTGCCTGAACGTGTGCAGCTGCAAGTAAATGCAAAGTTGCAACACTTAATTGATTAGTGTCCCATTCAACACCTTCAAATTTCTGTGCCTCTATCACTGATGCAGGAACAGCAATATTTATCATCTACACAATTCACTGCAGTAACTCACCAAGGCACTGTTGCTGGATCAAAATTCTATGGCTACCTAAAAGCGTTGTGCTGTGCAGCTGTTCAAGTTGTTAGCTCACTACCACCTTCTCAAGGGCAACTGGCCCAGCGTGTAATCCCTCATCTTGTGGTTGAAGAAGCCACATGTAAAAGAGGCAGAAACTGCAACTTTCTGATGAGTGCTTCAACCAAGACAAAATGAACCAAGAATTTAAGATTCTTGCAAAAATTTGTAGCTCAGGTTGTGGATGAGTTTGTTGGCTTGCTCGCCGAGTTGGCTGGTTATCGTATAGACGTTTCGTCACCATGCTAGGTAACACCATCCCAGTGCGGCCTCCAACGAAGCGATGTTGTTCTACTCCGCTTGGTATTTTTATGATCCATTCTGTTAAGTTGGGTTGTATCATTTCCAGTTCTGTTTTGCATGGGTTTGTATATGAGGTCTAATTCTATGTGTTCGTTGATTGCATTATAGGTTGAAAACCAGACCTCTAGGAATTCCCGTGTGTATCTGTGGTTAGCGTGAGCTAGGATGGTCACGTTGTCCCCATTAAATTGATGGCCTTCAGTGTCGAGTGCACTGAGATGAGGGAAAGCTCGTCGTGTCGTTTTGCTGCCAGCTGGTGTTCACTTATCGTGATGGCTAGTTTCCTTCTGGTCTGGCCGATGTAATGTTTGTTGCAGTCATCGCAAGGTATTTTGTAAACTACACTGGTCCTGCATGTCATGGATATGGGGTCTTTGGTCCTCGTAAGTGTTTGTTGTAATGTGACCGTGGGTTTGTGTGCCGCCACGATAATCCTAGTGGTCGTAGGAGTCTCGTTGTCAGAAATGTAAAGCTGTTCACTAGATTGAATTTTCATAGCAGAAACACTATGGGTAATTTAGCATGGCCAATCCACCTACCCTGCACATCTTTGGACTGTGGGAGAAAACCAGAGCACCTGGGAGAAACGTATGCAGACACCGGGAGAATGTGCAAACTCCACACAGACCGTCGCCCAAGGGTGGAATTGAACCCGGGTTGCTGGCGCTGTGAGGCAGCAGTGCTAACCACTGAGCCACCATGCCGCCCCTAATTTTGTTCTTGATATAGGGTAGCATGCCCAGTGTCTTTAGGCATTACTGTGTTTTCTTGGTGTTGTTATTAATCCGTAATGCAATCAACAAACATGTGGAATTAGACCCCATATACAAGGAGGAACAGGAAATGTCACAACCCAACTTAACAGACTGGATAATATAAATACAAAGTGGAACAGAACAACATCACTTCATCAGAGGTTGCACTGATGTTACCTAGCATGGTGACGAAACGGCTGTACAATAACCAGCCAGCTCGGGGAGCAAGCCAACAACCTCATAAACCATGAATCAAAGTAAAAATTTCCTTCTTTTTGCAAGCCAGCTACACCCAATTTAGACATGTAGAAGCCAATGCTACACAGTTACACACATGTCAATGCAAAGTAGTTGGATGAATGGTACAATACCTGTAGTGGTTTTATCCTCAGTACCAGGCTTCTTGGGAGGTGGAAGTCGCTTTTTAACCTTCTGATTTGCAGGCTTTTGATCTGCCAATTGACCAGTAGCAGGCTTCAGTTTGGAATTCTTAGCAGGTAATTCTTTCTGTAGTTTGCGCTTGGGACTGGGCTTGCGTGGACTGGGCCTGTGAGGACTTAAATGCTTTGGGCTTGGTTTGGATTTGTGTGGGCTCAAACGTCTAGGTCTGGACCTGTGAGGGCTAGACCGCTTTGGGCTAGGTCTTGATCTGTGTGGGCTGGAGCGCCTGGGGCTGGTGCGCCTTGGACTGGATCTAGAACGGTGTGGACTGGATCGTCTTGGGCTTGGTCTACGAGGGCTGGGATGCCTAGGGCTACCCCTGCGTGGGCTTAAACGCCTGGGACTGGACCTGGGTGGGCTCATGCGACGGGGGCTAAGACGTTTTGGACTCATCCGTGTTGAGCTGAAAGATGCTGAAGACTGCTCTGCGACAGCCGCTTCTTTCTCTTTCTTCGCGGCATCGTCTCTGAGTAAAATAGAAAGGGAAAATGAATCCAAACTGCAAGCAACTTAGCTGAAGGTATCTGTTAAAAAGAAAACTCAAACACACTTTCAGTTGAAAAGGTTTTTTTTAAGAGTCTACAGCCTATTCACCCATCTGGCCTGCATCAGTTTTTCAAATAGTCTCATTTCACTTTTTCATCCTAAAACCAAGTAAATTCTTGCCTTCAGATATTTATTCAATTCATTTTAAAATTCTACAATTAAACCTACTTTCACTGCCCTTACAAGTAGTATACTCCAGATTACAACTCACTTCCTCGGTTCAAAATCAACTTTATGATAGATGGAGTGAGGGAGGGGCAGGCAGCATGGGACCATTATTCAGCCAAAATTAATCTTCATCTAAATAATTGTGTCCTACTCAGTCTGTGGCCCTAAAAAGTCAGTCTTCCATCACTGGCCTGCTTACAAGTGGATAACCATACAGTAATTTGTAGAACATGTAATAAATTAGTGCAGACAGGGCGGTGTGGTACAGTATAACTGAAGACCAAGTCAGAACTTGCAGAATTGACAGGAAATGGGAAGTAATTGTGCACAGAACATACAAAATAGGAACAACAGTATGCCACTCATTACACTGAGCCTGCTCAGCCATTCAAAAAAATAATGGCTGATTTGACAGTGGGCTCAATTGCACTTTTCTATCGACTACTATTACACATCACCTCCCTTGTTTGTCAAAAATTTGTCCAGCTTTTCAGACTGGAGGCCTGTGATCCCAGCAGTGTGCCACAAGGATCGGTGCTAGGTCTACTGCATTTCATCGTTTACATAAATGATTTGGGTGTGAACATAGGAGGTATGGTTAGTAACTTTGCAGATGGTACTAAAATTGGTGGTGCAGTGGATAGCAAAGAAGATCTTGATCAGATGGACCAATGGGCCAAGGAGGGGCAGATGGAATTTAATTTGGATAAACATGAGGTGCTGCATTTTGGAAAGGCAGATCAGGGCAGGACTTAAACACGTAACAGTAAGGTCATGGCGAGTGCTGCTGAACAAAGAGGCCTTGGAGTGCAGGTTTGTATTTCCTTGAAAGTAGAGTTGCAGGTAGTTGGGATAGTGAAGGTGGTGTTTGGTAAGCTTGCCTTTATTGGTCAGGGCATTAAGCATAGGAGTTGGGAGGTCATGTTGCAGCTGTACAGGTCATCGGTTAGGCCACTTTTGGAATACTGTGTGCAGTTCTGGTCTCCCCGCTATGGGAAGGATGTTGTGAAACTTGAAAGGGTTGAGAAAAGATTTACAAGGATGTTGCCAGGACTGGAGGGGTGGAGTTATAGAGAGAGTCTTAACAGGCTGGGGCTATTTTCCCTGAAGTGTCAGACCTGAGGTGTGACCTTACAAAGGTTTATAAAATCGTGAGGGGCGTGGATAGGGCAATTAGACAAGGTCTTTTCCCCCGGATGGGGGAGTCCAAAACTAGAGGGCATAGGTTGATGATGGGAAGGGAAAGATTTAAAAGTGACCGAAGGGGCAACTTTTTTTAACGGAGGGTGGTGCGTGTATAGAATGAGCTGCCAGAGGAAGTGGTGGAGGCTGGTACAATTATAACATTTAAAAGGCATCTGGAAGGGTACATGAATAGGAAGGGTTTAGAGGGATATGGGCCAAATGCTGGCAAATGGGACTAAATTTATTTAGGATACCTGGTCAGCATGGACGAGTTGGACCGAAGGGTCTGTTTCCATGCTGTACCTCTCTATGACTCGTAAAGAATCTATCAAACTCAGCCTTCCAAATTTTCAGGGATCCCATCTCCATTCTCTGGGAATGAGAACTATATAGACTTATGAACTTCAGTAAAACTTTCTCCGCATCTCTGTCAGAGACTAATCCATTATCTTTAAGCTATTTTTGAGCCAGATTTAAAGCCTCTCCAAGAGGAAACATTTTCACAGTCTCCATTCTGGCAAGCTTCCTCAGGATTTTGTATGGGTCAATAAGATTAGCTCTCATCCTTCTAAAGTCTACAGAGTAAAGGCCAAATTTAGACAAACCTTTTCTCATAAAACAACTTTCTCATGCCAGGATTTATGAATAAGTTGTATTCCAAATATATTCCAATGCAAGAAAACAAAACTGTACAGAGTACTCACATCAGAGCCCTCTACAGCAGCAGAAAGGCTTGTCTACTTTTATATGCCCTCTGCAATAAATGCCAACATGCCATTTCCCTCCATTTCCTGTTGTACCTCTATACTAATAGTTTACTAATCTGAAAATGATCCATAAATCCCCATTGTTTCCTGATAGCCAGCCAAAATAACTCAGGTTAAGAGCTTCAGGAGGTTTGACCATATTTTAAAGGATCATTAAGAAATGTTGATTCAAATGTATGTGCATTAACAAATAATAAATCCAGACAAGTCACATAACTGTGCCCGTTCAGTACATACACCCCAACACCAACGCAAAACTTGAAAAACGTCATCCAACACAAGTGCACAAAACACAGGAGTAAACAATGAACTGAATATCTCAAAACAATCATAAAAACTCGAAGGCTTCGATAAACCACAATCCTATAAAAATGGGTAAAAATTTTGTAAAACTGTACGTACTTTGTTGCAGCAACAGCATCTGGGTCCCAATCTGGATACCTGAAACGTAAAACATGCAAAAGCTTATTAGAATTAACAGCAATGGGTACTACACCTGTGGGCTCCACACATCAACACTCAAGTGGTCTAACAACAAGCTTCCAGGACCAACTTTTAGTTTCACTGAAAATGGCAATTTTTCCAGCAAAAGAAAGTACAGTATTCTCCTTTTAAGATCTCATCTATTTTACTTATATAGTGGTCAGGTGGTACTTATCCAAATGCAAAACTAATTTCCTATTTCTTCATTGTTGTGATGGGCATGATATTAGTAAAGCTGGAATTTAACACCACCCTGATTTGTCCTGGATTTGACACATATGACTCACTTGCTTGATGACTACAACTAACAGGCAAACATGTTGACATGGTAATACAGTCAGCCCTAACTGTCTTAATGAAAATTTGTAGCTCAGTGTGTGGATGCACTTGTTCGTTAACTCACTGAGCCGGCTGTTCTGTGGTGTGCAGACGTTTCATTACCTTTCCAGGCAACATGTAGGACAAGCGAACACCAGACATGCAAGGGAATTTCTGGAAGCCTGGTTCTCAACACGGGACTCCATTAACAAGCACATAGAAATAGACCACGTATACAGACCGCTGCTAAAACAACAGAACTGGAAGTGACAAGACCATCACACCAGAGGATCACATAAATCCGGATGGATGCAGAACACCAATGCTTTGATTAGAGGTCACACTGACGATGTTGCCTCGAAGGGTAATGAAACATCTGCACACCACAAACAACTGCAGAGCCCCAAGTGGGATACGATGGCAGCTTTACGTGTCTGTAAAGAATGTCAGCAAACAATTGGATGGTTTCTTGGTCATATTTATTCATGGGAAGTCAGCCTCACAGGACAAGCAAGCATTTATTGACAGAATTTTCCTTCAAAAGGTTGTGGTGACAACCATCTGCCTGAACCAGAGCAGTTTCTGGGTGTAGGGACGCAATAGTGCTACTTTCCTTTTCTAAAGAATGGCATAAATGCAATAGAGATGATTTGGACGTGGTTTATTAGATTGGTACCAAGAATGAACGGATCACTTTAGGATAGGTTGGACAGAATGGGCTTGTCTTCATTGAAGTTTAGAAGAGGGAGTGGTGACCTTGATTGGCCCTGACAAGGTGGACGGGAAAGGGTATTTCCTCTTGTGCCTCAGGTCCATTGTTTTAAAATCTGGGTTGCCCTTTCATGAACAAAA